TTCGTCCTAAGTCCAGATTAGTGTTTATATCCTTCAGCGTATCGTTTGTTGTAAAAGTAATATATTCACTTTTGGTATTTCAGTAATTCGTTCTTAACAAAATATGTATATATATTGACTGAGTTCCTTATTGGTGGAGAGGGACCCACAGTTCGGTAGGGGAGTGTGGATTGGCGCCCGTCCTGCCCGTGTGGTCTCTCAATGGTCTTAGTTTTTTACCCCCTCCCCCCCACACGTGACATTACATATGCTGTCTGACTGTGTAAAAACAACTCTTCTTAGCAACTCCAATCCTTTATATCACTCCACGTATTTCGAAAAAGTATATCTCACTTATTTTGACTAACTTATAGTCTTGTCAATGCATGTTATTTTGGAGCAATTAAGACACGAGGACTCTGAAAACTCCATATGAAACTATAAGTAAACTGGTTACTGGAGCAAACGATTCTCTCATGAATCATTCTAAATAGAAATCAACGAATATTGGAATAATTAGACTTAATCTTTTTTTATTAATTGGTATTGCGTACAACACGCCCAAATATATTACGCCTTGTCAAAAAACACTTGAAACTCGTTAGAAAAGGCGAAAATTTCCAAAATTTAACTCAAGATAGGGCCATCAAAATATGTTCTAGATAATTCAACGACGAATCCGTAATCTGTATATTATTTTTAAAAAGGTGTTTTTTTGTCGGTATGCCATAACTTCGAAATTTCTTGAAAAAAAAAGTAATGAAGAAAAAGAAACTTTATTTGCGGATAACTCAAAAAATATGCATTTTTTTTTTTTTTTTTTTTTTTGGTGGCCAAGATAATTAGTAAGATTATTAAATTATCTACAAAACAAACAAAAAATCGTAAACATCGTACGATTATTAACAAAGATAAAGTCCATTAGTTTTGGTATACTTAATAATGTCTTCCTCTTTAAAGATATTGCATTTAGAAGTACAATAGTCTTCTACACTTTTTTTTTCCTGACTAGTGTATTAACTTTATTATTTCTTAAATGTATTTGTTTGTTCTTACATTTTATCTTTTATAATAATTAAGAAAACTCCATGAACGGGGCATTATTTTGTCTTTATTATTTTTATTATCTTTCCAGCCAGCGTTTAAAAATAGGTCCTGGCAAATCAATTTGTACTACTGTTTTGGTCTATTATGTAAAATGGAATATTGTAATCGACCAAGGAAAAAATATTCATTCCTTCCTTACATAGTACATAGAAACTACTTATTTCTTTATTGTTTTGCTATTTCTTCACTAAACAAAATTTTCTGCGAATTATTCGCCAAATAGTGTAACTTGTCATGAATTTTTTTTTTTACCCAAAACACCTGTGCGAAATTCCACTCCTTCTTTTGTAATATAATAATCGCTCAGAAGAAAATAAAACTAATTCACATAAAAGAAAACTTCAAATTCAACGTTGTCACTCTGCACTTTCCTTTACAGTGGGTAAACAATTTTGTTTACGAAAAGAAATTAGTTAATTAATTATTGAACATAAAGGTATTGACGAATATTATAACAACTAAAGTTAAGCATTAACAAGCCCTAACGGATCCAGGATTCAATTTTTTTTGGGGGGGAGGGTGGTTTCAGACCGAAAGATTTATTTTTGTAAGTATATATTAGAATAATTACTTCAGAAGAAAGAAAGAAACTAACTTTCTATATGAAATGGTGTTTAACTGATATTAAATGTTATCGTACTAACAATAATAGTTTTAGAGATAATTTTTTCATAAAACATGGTTATGTTTTGCCTTTTTGGGGAGGAGCTTTAGCCCGAAGCAGCCCCTCCCCCCTCTCCCCGTAGATTCACCTGTGCTAATAAGTGACAGTCAAAAATCCCAAAGTGCTCGTAAACGTTCTTCACAATTTTATAAAATTCTGAGTAATTGACGAAACTTTCCTTTGGGCTACAAATGAAAACATATAGCAGTTCATCTACTTCACTGTCGCTAAGGAAATCCATACCATGATTAATTTTTATGTCAATTTATCGATGATTATGTATTAGATAAAAATTATAAGCTTATAACAAACTACCAACTTATTATTACTATCTTATTAAAAGTAACTCAAAATATTTTAAATCTTTTAGCTAATTAGGTCAAACAGATTCCTCTGACTTCCTTCACTTATAGAAATCAATGCCAAATGTTTTTATCATAGACATCAATCATGGTGTTCAATAAATTAAATGTATTTTTTCCGAAAAAATTAGTTTTTAATATTTTTCCCACTCCCTATACATTTTTTCAGATCCTAATTCCTTTATCATAAGGGTTATATTTATGGTTGGGGGTGAAATCGTACCGATGTCAATTCAACATATCCGAAGTATAATCCTCCAGGTCGTGCCACTGAACGTCCTCATTTCACAATGAAAATTAAATGAAATGAAAATATATTTTATTATTATGGGACTGTTGTCCCTTTAGAAAAAATTACAAGTACAAAATTCATGTGTAAGTGGTCAAATAGAGTAGATGTTTACAATATGCTTACTTAAAACCAAAAAAATACAGACAGAATGAGAGAAAAGACATAAAAAGCGCAAATATACATACATAATAATCATACATCAAGCGCACATAATGCAAACGGAGAAAACTACAGTAACAGAAATATTTGATTAGGGCAGGCTGAGTGGAGCAGCCAGGCCTGAAGCAGGACTGGTAAGGGTTTAAGAGATTATTGTGCTCCAAAAAATGCGATAGCTGGGATTGGACTAGTCGTTCCAAAGGTTTGGAGAGGTTTGAAAGAAGGGAAATTGGACGGAAATCATTAAGGGTTGATGGGTTAGAGGTCTTCTTCAAGAGGCGTACTAGGGCGGTTTTCCAGGGTGTAGGGAAGGTGGCATTTTGAAGAGAAGAATTATAAATATGATAAAGGATCGGAAGAATGGATAGTAGTGCGAATTTAATCAATTTGACTGGAACGTTATCGGGACCATGATCGTTAATATGGGATTTCTGAATGGAGTTTAGGAGATCATCAGTGGTAATGTGAGAAAAAAAGAAGTCATCAGGATTAAAAGAGGAAAACATGGGAGCCGGATCTGTCGCAGGAGTTGCGGTTGCGAAAGGACAAGAGACAAAGTGAGCGTTGAGATTATCGGCAGAAACGGTAATGGACTGGGACTGAGGTGTATTACCAGTGGTCAGTTTTCTGAGAATAGTCCTCGTGGCCTTGGTATTAGGGGAGTTAAATAAGGTATGATAGTAGTAACGGGATTTAGCACGACGTACTGCTGATTGAGTGCTGTTTCGAAACTGTTTGAAGGAGAGAAAATCTTCATGGAGTCGAGTTCGTTTGAACCGTCGCCTTGCAGCATCTCTTTCTCTCATACACTCTCTCAAAGCAGGAGTAAGCCAAGGAGCGGTAGGATGCCGGATGGTTTTTGTGATAAGAGGAGAATGTTGGTCGATGATAGAGTGAAGATGAGAGGTAATGGTTTGATGGATTTTGAGGAGTAAATGGAATCCCACTGGATATCGTCAAGATCTTTTGACAGCGTTTCGTGAGTGAGGGAATTTAGATTTCGGAAGGATATTGTTCGGGGAGAAAAGGATGGGACAGGGATATTATAAGAGATCTGCATAGGTCGTGGGAAGATAGAAACGAGACAGGGTGTTGTGATGCGGCAAGGAGCTTGTCTGTGGAATCTAGGATAAATAGATCGAGCCAGGACTCCGTTAACTGAGTATGGTGAGTAGGGTTGTAGGATACTATGTAAAGGCTGAGAGAACGAAAGAGGTTTGTTAGGTAGGAATAATCGGAGGATGGCATTAGTAGATTGGTATTAAAGTCTCCGGAAAGGATGACATTTGAGTAGGCAGGGATTAAATTGTACAAAGAAGTCTCAAATAGATCAACAAAAGGAATTCTAGGAGGGCGGTATATGACAGCAAACAGAATGGACGATGAAGTTGTGAAGATTTTGGCAAAGAGGTATTCATTGTGCGTTGAATCGGTTGAGGGAGAGCAATGAAGGATTTTGGATTTAAGGCTGTCATGGACAAAGAGGCCTACTCCACCACCCGTACGGTGTACTCTGTCATGACGAAGGAGAGTATAGTTAGGTAAAAGGTTCTGGTAAGACGGAACTGTGGGTTTCAACCAGATTTCGGATACGGCAATTAAATGGTAAAAGTTATGGAGAAAAAAGTCATAAAATTCGTCAAAATGGGCTAGGAGTGACTGAGCGTTGACATGGCAGGTAAAAAGGATATTACTCATGGATGAAGGAGGGGTGGCTTGGTAAACAGATAGGAGGAACAAGAATAGGAATATTTATATAATAGCCAGAGCTAATATAAGCCGAGTCCATAATTAATGGTGATATCTCTATTGAGAAGAACAATAAATTTATAACATTTTCCAGATATTAATAATGAGTGAAAACAAAAAATGTAAAATTTAGTTAACGAAAAGAATGTACCTACTGTAAGACGGAAAAGATTTACATAAATTACAATTTCTAAACAGTACAAATCCACAATGTTCTCATAAGCAAAAATAAAGTTATTACCTTGGTACATAAATAAAATAAAAGCGACAAAAACATAAACCTGTAAATTAGAAAAATCAAAGACTAAATTGTACCAAATCAGGAAACATATGTGTACATGTCATGCAAATATGTTCAAATCTGATGGTGAATTAATGACGACGAGCTGCTGGCCATCATCCTTTCGACACTTACCTGCACTAAACCACACATATCTGATTTTTCCGGTGGACCTCTTTTGCCGAGCCATCTAGTACAGATGTCTGTTGGTTACGGGCATAGCTTCGCTCAGGTAAATCTTACGGGCATCATTGTCTTGCCATCCAAGGTGTCGTGTTGAGAAGTCTCTTATAACCTTTCGCCTCTGGATCAACTCATTTCACTGGGACTCCTCTTATTTCTATTGACCTGGAAAGGTGCAATTGCTCACTTTTATTGAGCCTGTTTTCGAGCTCCGAAACCCGAGACTTGAGAGTCGTGTTTTCCAGGAACAGTCCGTCTATCATAGAGTTTTGAGCCTCTAGTAGTGACTCTATTGTGTCCAGTTTCGCCGCATTCTCGAAAGTGATAGAGGCTTGCTTTTCGAGGGTTATTTTTAGTTCTTTCACCTCGTTAGCGTTGGCATCGAGGGAGACTTTCAATCCCTTGACCTCTTCTGTAAGGTCTTTAATGGCAGAAAGTAGTAATTGGGAAGAGGCGTCGACCGTTGGTCGTTGTGTAGCCGATCTTGGGGGGCTTGAGCACTTATCTGTCGTTTGGATATTTTTGCGGGCCTTTTTACATTTCAGACATACCCAATTTTTTCTTGCTGAAATTAGTGCTTCAAATTCCGTCTCATCTGTGTTTAAGCATTTACCATGAAAGATAGCTTGACACGTCGTAATTGAACATGATAATGATCTTTTGTCCTCTCTGACTATGCTTGCAAATCGGGTATAGAACCATCTTGGTGGGTGTAAAAAATCTAAATTATAAAATATGTGAAAAAAAAAGAAAAGAAAGTACGTAAGCGAAGTGGTAACAAGTATTGACGTAACTCCAATCCTCTCACTGGAGACATTGAGAGATATCTAGTAGCTAGTCCTATTTCTGCGCATGCGCTACCCACTACTATTCTTAACTAAAATGTCAACGTTAGGTATCTATAAGCCGTCTAAAACTGAGATAGCTTCCTTTCTTCTCCTAACGCGAGGCGCGGTTGTAGTGAGGATGCAATCCTCTCTGTGGATACAGCACAATTAATAGTTGGTTCCAGCCAAAAACTATAGCAAAACTCCGTTTAAAAACTGTTAAACCCACTGATTATAAAACTCGTAAACTTCAACCATAAGTTCTGTACTGAGGTCTAGACCACACTATGCTGTTGGACAGACTGAAAACAGTAAAATTATAATGGATACTGAACGTATATACTACCGCCACACACCAACTCGATTATAGCGACACCATGAGCTATAATCTTCGGCCTTTCAATGGCATTCACCAACGTAATCCTGCCAACCATTTCAATGGCCTTTATGACAGTAAACCAAGAACAACTAATCGCAGAACATCAAGTGCCAAGTTGAAGATTTTCATGGAATGCTGGAGGTCTCACTGTTTCAAAGTTCAGTCAGTTCCAGCTGCAAATCAAGGGGGACAACATTGATAAATACGCAACCATAGAAAGAATTGCGGCAATAGACAATTAACATGATGGTTACCAGACCTTTCGGTAAATAGATTTTTGTACAAGGATTTCCATCCGTCTCTGTCGAGGAATGCTCTTCTGGCTTTTAAAAAAAAATCAAATTGTTACAACTACAAATTCAAAGAAATTTCCTTAAGCATGTCAGCTGCTGGTGCTTTTACCCTGAGCAGTAATAGTGAAGTAACAAATTCCTTTAACCAATGTAATGTTACCAAGGTCGTGTATCAAATTCTACTTCTATGGATGTTGTTATATGTTTATAATCTGTGTGTTTGTTTTCAAATCTCTTTCATTACGTGATGTAAATTCGGTTATAACGTTGGATTTTTAATTGTAAATAAAAAAGGAATACACCGCCTATTAAAGTTGAAGCGATGGAATCCAATTCACTTCCAGTCGATAAAGAAAAATCTTTTATTCTTAAGAAACTTTTAGAGTCATTGATACATTCTGGTAAAGATCATTTGAATAAGGAAGAACTCAATAAAGTTCTTCAGATATGTGGGTACGTACATTTTGATAAATCACTAATTTGTTAGCATTTTTTTTCTATGTAGAAACTGTATTTATATTTGTTGATTTGTTTAGAGAAAATACTGAATACATAAAGCAGTCTTTCAAGTACATCTTTAAGCTTTTGGAAAAGAAACATGCTGAAATACGTTTTAGTTCTGCACAAGTTTGCCATGAGTTATTTATGTAAGTATATGTTCTTTGGCTCTAAAAATTTGATGACAATTCAGAAATGAAAATAAGATTTTTGATTAATGTTTATTAATTGATGTTTGCTCTTTAATTTCTGAAAATTATGTTTATAGTACTAGTTTTAAAGTGTCATGTGATTGAAAAATGGTTAATGATCATGCAGTGTAACATCAATGTGATCAAATGTACTGTACATAGAATCATGAAACTAGCTGAAGGCATCTGATAATATATGATACGAGTCTGATCACTACTAATATTTATATCTTTATAAATGGATTCTGAAATGTATTTGATGGTGAATTAAAAGGATACATCTATTCAGATTAGGACTCCTGCTTGGAAAGGTACGATCCCAACTGAATAGGATCTGTTGGAAGCTTAATTATTTCTCAGGCCGACTTTAATGAACATTTAATAATGAATTATTAAATTATGTTTAATCGCGATAAAATATTCTACACTATGTTGCGTTGAGGATAATTAAAAAGAGGATGAAATGTTGAACATTTACCTCGTTTACAGAATGCATGTCTGGTTTTTAGTTTCAGAGATATTTTAATCAAAATATATTCAACCAAACTCTTTTCCTTTTCGCTTCATTAACACGGCGTTGCATTAAGATACAATTTTGAATAATAGCTCATTACAAAGAGAATAAAATGCTGAACATGTACCTCGCATACAGTATGCAGATCCAATTTCTATTTTCTGAGATATTTTAATCCAAATGCAAAAACACTTCAAAAATTCACTGGTGTGCTTAAAACAGAATAGAACCTCAATTTGGTCCTTAATTAGCTTTTACTTTATTGCTGCTTTTAAACTTGGAACTTCTGCTCACTACATTCACTCTAAAGATATAAACATGCCCCAATGTCCAATCATTTAAGGTGGTACCTCACCATAGTGTTCAGTTATCTCTATTTCCTTTTGGACACACTCAAGCCGTTTTAAGAATTTCAACAACAGTGTGATCATGAGATTCTGCCCTTGATTTGCCCACCAATTGTGGTGGCATACTGAAGTAGTACCGTACACTTTTAGAGGACAGGATAGGTTGGGGCGTGGTTCCCAGAGTGCCGGGTTCTGAATGTTGTGGATTTGATTCCCACTTGGGTCGTTTACTTTTCATTTCTCGGCGGGCCCAGGAAATGGATCGTGACATTCCCACTCTGGCAAGTACGCGATGACAACCTCAAAGGTGCCTTCAGGAGTTGGCAAAAAGGACCACTGACGGCCCACTTGCCAGGCTAGTTCTTCCACCAGTACCAGTACCATACACTTTTACAATGTTAATGATGCAACAAGAGATTTCAGAAACAAATTGCAACTTCAAAAGCTTGGCAATATGTTTCATATATGTTATTTATTTTTTACGCTTTGTTATTTATATATAGATTTTATTTTTAGGAAATTTGTAGAGTTTCGAAAACTTGTAATTTCTGACTTACATTTGTTCTTCAAATTCACAATGGGTATAAGAGCTACAGAACCATTGCCGCCTCCGATATCTACTGCCAATAAATTAAAAAAACATTCTATGCAATATTTTCTTGAATGGCACCAAAAATTTAGCAGTAGATATTTCAAATTGAAACTAGCTCTGGAATATCTCGATGAAATTGAACATGTAAGTTTTTTTTTTTTTTTTTATACTTATTGCAAAGCTTAGCATTTTATAATAACAAAATAAATCTTAATTGAGATTCATAGTGAAATTTATATTACTGAACAATTTTAATTTTGTACTTAAGCCCTAAGTGATAAGAAAAGTTGTGTGAGAGGAATCACTAAATATTTTAGATATAAAATATTAATATATTATTAATGTAATCTATAAAAAAAAAAAGTTCCCTGAAGATGAAGATAAAAATCCTCAAAACATCGTGCAAGTTAATAAAAAGCACCTATATTAAAAATATATTTTAATTTGTGAGTCAAATTAACTCAACTTTGATTAGTTTTTGATGTACTCAAAAACTACACAGGATCTCTAGAAACATTTGAGTTCCTCATTTGAAAAAATTTCTAGACCTAACAAGAAAAAATATATTAATTGAACTTGATATTGAAACTAATATTGCAAAACTTTGCATTTTTGATATTAATGAATCGGGCTTGATATTGAAACTAATATTACAAAACTTTGCATTTTGCACTCTCCTCCAAAGCAGTAACGAAAGTTGGGTGAGGGAACTCATGGGATATTTTTGATGTAGTTATTTAGAAATAAAAAACATTCTGTAATAATTTAGAGCGTTTTTATATGTTTTTCTATTTATAGTTTATAATCTTGTTATTTTTCCATGAATAACTAAAGAAGCTTAGTTGTGTTTATATGTTTTAATCAGTTTTTTTTTATAGGTTGATTTTAGAACTTTTGAAATTGTAGATCCCAAAGAAAGAAAGAAAAGAGAAGAAAAAGAAAAAACCTCTAAGAAGCTGATGAAAGCTAGAATTGAAAAACTTAGTGGGGAAATGAAAGGTTAAATGATCCAATATTTTTTATATCTTATCTGATCATTATGAAAAATTCTTTCCATTATATTTCTTATATCTTAGTTTAAGTCCCTCATTCATTAAAATCTTTGATGACCTAGATTTTTATAGTGGAAATTGACATCAATTTAAAATAGTGTGTGTGTGTAATCATTAAAAAATAATGAGTTCATATTACTTATGTGCTTCCTTATTTGATCATTAATTATTTTTATTATCTAGTTTCTATTTTTAATCAACATTTATTTAAACCTTCATGGATTCTTCTCTTTTTTTCCATATTATTTGATCTGATACATTTTTAGATTTTTAATAATGATTTTACTCTTCAAAAAAAAAGTTAAGGTTTTTAAAAAACTGGAAGCAGGGTAGCTCAGTGGTGGGGTACTGAGTTTCCAATGCTAAAGGTCCCAGGTTCGAATCCCGGCTCATGGCAGAAAATTATTTATTCTGTTCGTTGACCGTGGGGTGACGCTGGGTAGATAGACACTCCTGGGGCACACCCACCCAGCCTCTATAAAGTGAGTACCCTTAGTTAAAATAATTAATTAAGGAGAAAAAACCTGGTGGTTGAGTGTGATCTCAGTCAAATCATCTCCTGGCATAACCGTAGACCAAGAAACAGTGCTCTCCGTAAATAGTACTGAACCCAAGACCCTTAATGGATTGTAGTGGTACAGGTTTATTCTCTTTTCTTTTTTTTTTTTTTTTTTTTTTTTTTAAACTAGCTTACTCTATAATTTTGGACTATAAATGTTTGTTTTGTACCCAAAATGAGTAAATGGTCTGATACAATGATTGACATTTGAACTTTTTATGGAAAAATAAAATGAAACTTACAATACTTTAGCTAAGGAATCTCCGAAATATGGCCCGTGAAAATTTCTTTGATTACATAGTAAAATTTTAAAAATATAAAATATAGTAAATGACTCCAACACAAGATTCTTACGAAATTGATTGCATGAGTTGTTTCTTTAAGAAATCACAACTGAAGTATCATTTATAGAATTAGCTTTTTGGTTCTGATTGATTGTGATCGACAAAAAAATTCAAAAACCTAACCCCCTCTCAAAATTTGAGGTTTTACTTTTCAGAATATATAGAATTTGTAAAACGAATAAAAAAATTTTTTCTGCCTTCCACACATTTTCTCTGAAACTAATGGACTGATTATTTTTTTTTTTAATCACAACTGTGACCCATGGGATTTAGATTTAATGGTCTATCTAGTACAAAAAACCTTTATCAAATCCTAGAATTAGAATGGAAATTAGAGCATTTACAAAGGCAAACTCTTCAGCTTAATATATTATTATTGACAATTCCAAGAATTTTGATTGAATTTGTTTAGGATTGTGAATTTGCCCCATTTCATGATTGCAAATAGATTATCCTTTGAAATAGGCAATGTCATTGAAAGAATATTTTTTTTTTTAAATCACCTCTTATGATGCTGAGGCAATAAATTAATGAATTAAGTCAGATCTGAAAAAAAAAGTGATTCATTTTAATTCTATCAATTTCTATTATTTTAAGTTTGATATGTCTGTTTTATTTACCTGTATGTATTTTCTTAACATCTAGATTTAATTCCTGAAATCAGGTGTACTTTAACTTCTTTGGAATCCTGTTTTGAACTTCTTTTGCCCTCACCGGGCAATGATGAATATGATGAGGAATGTTCTAATTATGAAGAAGATATGAGACTTTTTGGTGTTGTTAATCCAAAGCACGTGGTACCAGTAGAAATAAAATTAAGTAAGTATGTTCAACTTTATAATGACTTATGTTTATTATTATGTTGAGTCTTACTTCTATAGTAACTTGCTGTTGGAGGAATATTTAAGTGTAAGTAATGATTTGGAATAGAATATTCTTATTTTATTATTTGAACATATCTTGTATCTATGATCTCCTTATTTAGTTTTTATTGTCTCTGTCTTACATAAAAAATTATATTTTCTTATACAGTACTTGACCCAGTTACTTGACTATATTTTTGAGGATCAAAAGTTGTCATTAAATCTTACTTATTTAATTGCAAATTATTACCATATGGTTTATTATTTACAAATAGATAACTCATAACAATATAATTTTGGTTTATTATTGTCAATAAATAATAAACCAATTTTTCTTAGGTATATTTTTAACACTTTATATTTTTCCTCTTTTTTCATTAACGACAACGATGAGGATGAAGTTTCTAATTAGTTGGTATTTTGTTTCAACTAATTAATTTGTTCAATATTATTATTAATTACTTTTGTTTTAAATTAGTCTTTCCTCAGTTGCGTACCAAGGTCCCTAATTGAAAATGATGAACCAAAATGGTTATTCCCATAAAACAAGAAAATGTAATTTATTTTCACCTAATTTAATTTCTGTATATATTCTATTTTTCAGGTGATAAGGTTCCAATTAAAGTTGATGATGAAAACAGAGATATCATAGATGCTGCAAAGGATGCATATATATTAATAAATAATCGTTTTTTGCCAAAAGTGAAAGCATGGATTGAAATAATAAACAAAGGAGAAGGTAAAGAATACCATTTTTGTTTCAATGTTGAATTTTATCCATTAATAAACGTTCTTGTGTCACCAAATGACTTTAATAGGTCATAAATTACTTATAATTTGATTAAGAGATCTTAGTATTTGATTTATTTTTATTCTAGTCTATACCTTCAATCAAAAATGAATTCTTGATATTCATATTTATTTCTAAGCATAATTTTGTACTTTCTTCTGTTCAGATGAAAGACATGATCTTAAGGAAGCCACAGTTTTATGTAAACAATTGGAAAATGCCATAACAAAATATCATAGGTTGGACATTATTAATGAAAAGAAAGAAGTTAAAGAAGATGAGGTATCTACTGACAGCGAGTTAGAGGAAGTTGAGGAGCCAAAGCCACCTCCGAAGAAAAAAATTCCCATTGAGGATTCATTGTTCTCAACTTCTTCAGAAGGTATAAACATTACGGATGGTTAAGTTTATAAATTAGGATCTATTACCTTTTTCTGATTAATATAGTAAAGAAAGTCAAATTTTTAGTTTACATTGAAATAAGTATTCTTTATTTTCTTTCTTTAACTATTTTCTTGCTTGATTATATATTTATTCCATCATTTCAGTTATGATTATTGTAATTCTTTATGATATTAAATACCCAACTTTGAGTTGTAATTTTTTTTTTATTAATTATTCAGTTAAAATAAAAGAAAAAAACAAGACAAGCCAGGTTGAAAAAGTTCCAAAATCTCAGCCTGGGCCAAGTGGTGTTCAAATTAACGACAGGAAAAAAAAGTTATTGGAAGTAGCTCCCAAACTTCCGTTCGATATTGATCTATACCATTGGGAAGATGAAAAATTACCTACACCCACTATGATAGCGTGAGTATTTTCATGTACTATATTTACGCATATATAAATCAACGGAATACATTGTTGCTCAGTGAGTTAATTACTCATATTGCCCAGGTTCAATTCCAGGCATAGCAATATTTTTTTATTCTGTTATATCAGCTGTGGATTGATCTTGGGGTTGGGAAAATCCCAAGCTCCTTTTTGTAATTACCATGATTAATTATTTATGATATTTAAGACTATTTAATAAACCTTTTTAAAGATAAAATATTTTAGTCAATTGGGAATGGTTAACTTAAATGCCTTGATTATTAAATTTTGCTACTCCTTTTGTTTTTCCTTTTTCCCGAGAAACATTGAACTATAAGACTCACTATAGTGAACTTTCTTTTTTTTTTTTTTTTTTTTTTTTTATTGAATAATAATACAATCAGCCACTGGAGGGCTATAAGTATTAGGGCTAAGAGTTCTCATTCAAACAATATATACAAATAATAGAGAAATAAATATAAATATAAAAAGTAAATAAATAATACTGATGAAGAAAGAAAATAAAAGAAAAAAAAAATAAACAATAACATAAAAAGAAACTTATAAACACAATCATACCTATATACAATATATACATTCCCCAAGAATCTCCGAGCCAGGCTTTTTCCCCCACATGTGGAAGGCAAAGCAAGACTCCAGGAGATTCCAGTGCCACTTTTCCAGCCGCATCACTGGTATTAGAAGCCAATGGAGACTGAAAGAGGGCACTAGAGCCACAGACGCTCGGGACATGAGTGGAGAAGCTGGCCATTGCCAGGACTCCAGAAGCATATTTACAAGAGATCTCTGGGCCACTGCCGTTTTAACCTTCGTGGAGGATTGTAGGGATGAAGGGAGCTGGATAGGGATTGAGCTAGAGGATTTGGATGATGGATAAGGTTTTGGTGAAAGTTTGAGAATCTGGTTGGGATGATGTCGAGGACAAATGGGATGTTAAGGTCATGGTGTAGGGTCTTGTTTGTGACATAATATGGGGCATTGACTATTGTTCTAAGTACTTTGGACTGGAAGGATTGGATGCGTTTGATATTCGAATGTTTAGCAGTTCCCCACAGTTCAAGTCCGTAGGTCCAGATAGGTTTCAGTATGGTCTTGTAGATTAAAAGTTTATTTTCAATCGAAAGATGGGATGTCCTATTTAGTAATCTATACAGCTGGCCATATCGTCGGTTAAGTTCTTGTCTTTTAAGTCTGGTATGTGGGTTCCAAGTTAGTCTTTTGTCAAGAAGGAAGCCAAAGTAACGGACTGTGTCTGAGTAGGGAAGTGGAATTGAATTAAAAAGGATTGACGGACAGGATCTGCGTCGCAGGGTAAAAGTGATATGTTTGCATTTTGATTCGTTGATTTTGATGCGCCAGTTGTTGCACCACTGCTCAATCAAAGAGAGGTGAGATTGTAGGTTTAGAGATGCTATTTGAGGATCTGAGTGGGAAGATAGAATGGCAGTATCATCAGCAAATGTAGCTAGAAATGTATCGGGATTGGAAGGGATATCGGAAGTGAAGAGGATATAGAGAACTGGGCCCAAGACACTGCCTTGTGGAACACCAGCCTCAACTGGATAGTAAGTGGAGAATGCGGTGTCACAACGGACTTGAAAGGAACGATTTGAGAGGTAGGATTTGAGGACTAGGTATAAGGATTGGGGTAAATGGGTTTTGAGCTTGAAAAGCAAGCCATCGTGCCACACCCGGTAACTATAGTGAACTAACATTTAGTTCTTTGGTTTTAAATATGCTCCATTCTTTGCCTTTCATTGCCTTACTCCCATGAATTTCCACTCTATGGGATGCTTACACCAGTTTCCAACCTTTACTGTTTTTTCTTATCTTTGTACCTATTCCAATTCAATCCTAATACATCATCCGTAGCAAGGCAGTTGTTTGAATGATGTTACTAGAATTTGTTATCAAGATGTTTATGGGAAGCAAAAATGCTATTAGTCTATGCTTTAAGAAGACAAGATCTTCTGAAGTGTTTGTTATTGCATATGGGTATATTGCTCAACATATACCATTATACAGGTTTTTACACTAAATATACTTCATTGAAAAAATGCAATCAAATAGAAATATTACTACTAATTGAGTAAAACTGCTATTAGTGAAATTTCCTGTTTATGATCAATAAATAAATTATAAGTGCTTGCTAATTAAACATCATGTTATGTTTTTTATGATTATTTATTTATTTTACTCTAAGTAGTTACCGATAAATTTTATCTATTTTCTAAGTTAAATATAATATTCCACATAGAAAGCAAATCTTAAGAAATATCTATTTTTTTTACTTCAGTACTAACACTGAAGGTGCCAGATTTTGGGGTGGAGGAAGTGATGATCTGGTTGAATTGCCTATACCCGATGGTGCATCTGCATTAAGAACCAGAGTGATAGAGTTTACTGGTGAGTGGAATCCTGTTAATCACACTTGTAGAGCTCCTCTGTCTTCTGGAAAGCTTTGTCCTCGGCAGGATCGTGTAAAAGTAAACTATTACAGTTATATTTATATTTATTTAGAAAGCATTTTTTTTTTTTTTTTTTTTTTTATTACTCATTGGTTTAATGGAATTAAAATTTTGTATTCCTCCAATAACTTGTTCTTTAGCTGAACAAAAATGTTAACTTCAATAAGTTTTTAAATATTGCTTCTTTCGGATGTGAATAAATATTTATTTTATAACTGTTATTTTCCTATCCTGTGTAGTAGTTAACATATTAGCTGCTGAGCATGATATCTCTTAAATGTCTTTCCCGACAATATCGGCCCCCGGCGACCGACACTATTTATGAAGTTCCTAATGGCATCAGACACCGGAGGCATCATTTTCTAGGTATACCGCTATTTTTTGACAACAAAGGTGAACTAAATTCTCTATTCAGAGTCTCTATCTGTTGATTGTGGCCTCTTTAATGGCCAGCAATCGTAGGAGTTGAATCCGACGTCCGATGCCATTTTTATGATGAGTTTTTTATTATTTCTCTTTATTCCAGTTAACAAGTGTATTTTTTGGGATATAAATCTGAAATATTGAAAATAAAATGAGAAAAAGTTTATTTATTACATATAATTATAATTTTCAAGATATTATTTATATGTATGCTATTTTTTATTTATTAATACATGTTAAATAAGCAAGAGGAACAGTCTAAGATAACCTCTCAAGAGCTACTATGCGACAGAATCTCGAAGAAGACAAGACCATGTGTACTGTCCTGCCACAGCAAGAATATGTATCGGATGCCGGGGGTTAATACCATAGGGAAATCATTTTTTATCAGTCTGGTATGGTATCGGTCCCCGAAAACCTTTTATCAAATATAATGATTATTTACGCTTGTATCTTTACATCTATCCAACTCCCATTCAAATATTTTTAAAAATCACCATTTTAGAGACTTCGTAAGATAGACAAAAATCCTGGACGTTTGGTAGTCAAAACGCATATCGGACCCCAGGGACCATAACCGCAGCTAACATGTTAACAACTGCTGAAGGAAAATGATATAAAACTAGCACCCACCTTATATTATAATTATCAACTTTTTCATTTTATTATTTTTAATAATATTGACTTAAAAAATACCTTTCTTAATGGAATAGATACAAGAGAGGTACATAGTAAACTTAAAAATAAAGTAAATTAATAAACTAATAATTAATTTCGGAAAAATTAGAGATAATAGATAGTTGATTTTAGTGTGATTGACTGATTTCATCATTATTTATACTGTAAATATTTTCAATACATTTAAATTGTTTGATATCAATCTCATTAAGTCATTTTATATAAATATATATAATTTTCTAGTCACATCATTCGGGTTTGGTGCCTTTTTCTCATAATTTATCATATGTCTATTTTAGGCCAAACATCACCAAAAAAACACAGTTTTTTTTATCTCCTGTATGCTTTATTCAATGTTTCAGCTTCAGGAGCCATTTTCAAGAACCATGCACTGCGCCATAAAATTTTTAAAATTTATCATTGCGATATGATTCGTCCTAATTCATTCTTTTATTTCAAAGAATGTCGTTTTCCGTTTCTTCATTTGCAGACGGTATCAAGAAATTATTGTTCTTCACTAGGGCATTCATACAGGACTATATTCATAGAGTCCTGTATGAATGCCCTAGTGAAGAACAATAATTTCTTGATACCGTCTGCAAATAGAGAGACGGAAAACGACATTCTTTGAAATAAAAGAATGAATTAGGACGAATCATATCGCAATGATAAATTTTTTAAAATTTTATGGCGCAGTGCATGGTTCTTGAAAATGGCTCCTGAAGCCAAAACGTTGAATAAAGCATACAGGAGATAAAAAAACTGTTGTTTTTTTTGTGACCTTTGGCCTAAAATAGACATATGATAAATTATAAATATATATAATTTCATATCTTAAATCCAATATCTCAGTTGATATGATCTTTTAAAAACCTGTGATTTTTTTTAAGTGTCCCTTTCATGGATTAATTGTTGAAAGGGATGATACTGGAAAAATTTTAAATGAGGAAGATGAAGAGAAAGTCAGTAAAACTAAACCGAAAGATGTACCTGACTGGCAGGACCCAAAGTTATTAGCAGAGATCAAGGTAAGTACAAAAAGTTTGAAATTTATCATAACATTTTAATTATGTAAGTACACTTTAATTTAGGGCTCAATTTGATAGACTTAGTGGGGTTTTGAATAAAATTTCTTTGAACTCATTATTAGTTTTATTTATATGGGTTTATTTTAACTGATAAATCATGATTATCTCCTCTTCCTTTTATGTTTATATTAGTTGTAGGTAAAAGAGATAATAATTTATTGTTTTGAAGTTTTATAGTAATCCATTTCAACAAAATTATTTTTATACTAAAATAAAAAATCAAGCTTACTTTAATCTTTTTTGGAATCGTATTTTATGTAAAAAGTGTTTTATAGTTTTGTTTTATAATTTTAACTTCACAATGGCTTTTGTTAGATTATCCTCACTATTATGTTTTTATGCATGATTCATAATTTGCCATACATGTAATATTTTAATGTATTTTATGAAGATCATGAATGCATTTGTTGAGAATAATTAAGATTTTTTAAATTTGTATAGGCTCAAACAGGAATAGATTTAAAGATGCCAGAAAAGGGTAAAAGGAAAAAGAAGAAAAAGAAATATCCTGGCCTTACTGATCTCAATGAGAAAAAGAACACGCCAATGAACAGAATATCAAAAAAAATCTTCAACAAGTAACTTTCTGTTTTAAAATTTAAATAATTATACAGACACATTATTTTGATTATACATACACATTATTATTGTTTTTTAATTACTGTTTTTTTTTTTTTCCTTTTAGGAAAGCTATGGCGAGAGTTGCTGCCACTCTAGATAAAATTGATAAAAAGAAGCATAGGGATAAATTTGGAGACCAATTCAATTATGTACATGGTACATAACATTGAAACCAATTACTCACAACTTAAATGAAAATAAATTAGATTTTTATAAATTAAATATTTTTATGTAAATATATATATTTCAAAATGCAATATCGAATTAAAAAAAATAACATAAATTTTGTGAATAGTATAATATGAATTAAACACTATAAAATAAGATTGTTCTAACAAGATCTTGTTAGAACCTCGGCTTTAATATTTATTAATTATTTATAACTTTAATTTATTATTAAAATGTTGATGAATGTACAAAATTCAGTAATGTAAATATTATAAATAAAAGTGTATTGTTAAAAAAATTGTACTTTGCATTATACCTTTTGAATTAGTTTATTTTAAGGTTTTATAAAAATGCAATCTGACATATTATACCAATAGTTTATTGTTGATATTTTCAATACTAGTTTAATTATAATGAATTCATTATTACTAAGTATTTAAATTTAAATTTTATGATAGCATCAGACTCCAAAAGCGTCATAGCAGCAATAGGTAACCCATGGCCAAGCAATTCAATAATAAGGGATATATTGAATCTATGGTGGGGATTAAGAAAAATAGCGGTCAGTGCAATATTTGTCTGTGTTCCATCTCATAGTGGTATCTCAGGCAATGAAAGAGCAGACCATGCAGCTAACTTAGCAAGGAAGGGAGAGGCACCAACCATAATTTCTATAAATTATATCACAGTAGAAGACTAGGTACATGCAACAAAAAAGAAGTTGTTGAAAAATTGGGTAAATAGATGGAAAAATAGACAGTCAAAATTAATGGAAATAAAAACAGACTGCAGCAAGTGGGCTAGTAGCACAAGAATATCCAGAAGAGAAGAAACAATATTGTGCAGAATACGAATAGGCCACTGCCTGTTTACTCACGGATACCTTCTCAGAGGTCTGGAACCACCCATGTGCCAAAAGTGTGATAATAAACCACAGTCAGTAAAACACCTGTTAGTAGAGTGTAACGAGTTCAACAACATTCGGCAAAAATTGAAACTACCAACAATTAAAGAGATACTGAGAGACAACGAAGATGGAGTAGCCACCCTATTGCAATACTTAATAGAGACAAAATACTACAATAGAATATAGAAAACTAGCGGCCAATGACCCTCTTGGGTAGAGGCGATTACAAATAAAAAAAAAAGATTTAAATTTTACAAGTAGCTTAGAAGGAATAGATTTTTAACAAATTAATAAAGAGTTAACAAATAAAACCCTTATTACCTTCAGGCTTGTCAGTGGATGTAATTTTATTAAAGCATGATGAATCTAGAGTATACCAAACTTTCTAATATTTCTATTGTAAATAACGATTCCCCAATTATAATAATAATTATAGAAATATATTATTTTTTTATGCTTCTTCAGAAAGAAAAAACTTGTGAAGTTTAAAGACTAAGAGAGGCTCTGTAAGTAACCTCCATAGTGTTGTATCTGGTTTAATTTTCCCGTCCATAATTGAAACTTTATAAAGAATATAAATGGCTCTGCTGAAATTTAGCAGATTGAAATAATAACATAGGATTACATCATGGATTGAAATTTGCTTTTATGACTTTTACATGAAGTTACTCTACACCCAAACCCAAATTGGTTCTGCCTATTATTATTATTTTGATATTCAAAGATAAAATATTTTGAAATTACATCCACCTGTAATAAAATCATGATTAAAGTAGTAGTGGATGGTTCAGGGTGATGGGGTCAAAGATAAAAAAAAAGGACACACACTTTATTTTCTTGTCTGGCTATATTTCGGACAAAGATAAGGGGGTGCTCATCCAAAATTTTTAAAATAAGTGCAAAAAATAACTAACATTTTATTAATTTATTTGATGATTTTTTCATCTGTGAAGTCTGAACATTGAGTACTTACATTAGTGCAATTATTTTTTATATAAAATAGTTTTAGAGCTATTCTCTATAATGTCGCACGGTCAGGGTGAACAGTGGGACCAAGCATTAGAAGAAAATTAAGTCAATATCTCACTGCGATGAGAGGACCCCACTTGTAGAGTCTGATCACTTCCTGGAACAGTAGTCTTTAACAGTAAAGCCAATGTTTGTCATGTGTATCTTTGGCTTTTCTACTTAATTTAAGCAACTTAAGCTTCATAGCCGCTGGCATATGGCAATATCACTAGGAACATGTTCTTTCATAATATTATTGTTGTGTGCTTTAAGACTATTCTTTACCCTAGAAATATTATTTTAAGGAGGCAAAGGCACTTTCAAGCTGATTTCATCCTTTCCTTAATGTCATAATTTAGATGTGCTCCTAGATATGTGAACTGCTTCATCTGTTCTAGGTTCTCATCTTTAAGTGTTATGCATTGTCAAACTTGATTTTCTGTATTCTCAGTCCTTGCAATTTTCATTTTTCCAGAATTTATTTTCATCTTGATTCTCTGATGCATTTCTTGGAAAATTATCTAGAAACTTCTTTACTGTTACCGAAAATGATGATGTTATCTACATATGTGCTCATGATGAAGTGGATAGGGCATGCATTTATTTTTATCAGACAGTAGGATCTCATGATTACCTTCTTAAGAGCCCAATTCAAGAATAATAAGAACGGTAACGGGCTTAAACTGCAACATTGCATTACAGCTTGCGAGATATATATATTTTTTTTTTTGTCCTCCACTTCCTCGCCTTTTGGGCTGTCCGAGATTTTTTCCCGGGTAGGAAGAGGGCTGAAGTATAAGAATTAATGGCAGAGTTAAAAAAACCCTATCCTCGGCAGCGAGACACGAACTTCTCTACTATCCTCCTTAGTGCCTTTCAGTGTGTAGGTGCCACGATCCAAGACTGCAAAGCCTCCCGATCCCGAGCCAGCACTTTCAATGAATTCATTGGCTTCCCCTTCTTTTCACCAATCCTGGAGATGTGGTCCATTCATAGAATCTATGTCTTCCCCACGGACAGCGTTTGGTAGGCCTGGCCTCAAAAAACTTCTTTGGATCACGGTCCTCATCCATTCTGCTAAGATGACCAAACCAATCTAACTGCCTCTTTTCGACTGTTTCCCTCAAAGATGGCACTGCCAGATCCCCCCCTTATCCTTTCATTCCTAACTCTGTTCCTCCTTGTTTTGCCTGATGTCTCCGGAGGTGCTTCATTTCTGTAGCAGTAGTTCTACTCCAGTGCCTGTCCAGCAGGACCCAGCTCTCACTTCCATAAATAAGGGTAGATAAGTATATGGACTTAAAGATGTGTAGTTTTATACTTTTTTCCAATTCCCTTTTCCCCACCACTGTGCTGCATAGCTGGTAGTATATGCTGTTAGCTTTCTTAATCCTGTTTGAGAGTTCTTGTTCCATTTTCCCATTTCTGGTGAGCACTACTCCGAAGTAAGTGTACTCCTATGCTGTCTCCAAGGTTTCTCCTCCGCAGCGAACCAAAACTTCCTTCTTTTCACAACCAATGTGCATCATTTTACTCTTTCCAACATTTAATATCATGCACTTTCTTTCTAGCTCAGCCTCTCATTCAATAACTGCCTGCAGTAGATTTTCTTTGATAATATCACCTGCAAAACCATCACTTGAGCAAGGATTCTCCTCATGTTCCACCTTCCCATGACTGTCTATGTTGTCTTCCGCTTGCATATTTTCAATATTTCATCTATAAATATTGTGGACAGGAGAGGACTAAGGCTGTCACTCTGTCTAACTCTCCTTCTCATGGCAGAATTACACCCCTTCAGAATTATGCCTCAGACATTCATCTGTTGATTCTAACTACTCCTTTGAAGTCAGGGTAGGTAGATTTTATACCACTAATTAATTCTGTGGAAACATTTTTAGTGGCTAAATCTGTCCATATTTCCTCTCTGGAAACGGAATCGAATGCTGACTTTATGTCCAGGAACGCCAAGCACAAACTCTTTTATTCTATACCATGACTTCAAAATAATCGTCCTGGATGTATTACCATAATTCTCACTAGAAGATGTGGTCCTGTTTTTGATGGTGGGGTCTAAAAGCTGCTTGCTCCTCTTATAATTTGCCTTCAACATTTAGTCTGAGTTTTCTTTCCAGTATGGAGGAGTAAAGTTTATAGACTACCGGGGATAGACATACAGGCCTATAGTTTTGGCATTCTCTAGAGCTTCCTTCCTTGTGGATCGGTATGATGATGTTGCACCCCCATTCCTCAGGCATAGATTTTGAAGAAAATATATTCTGAAACAGGTCCTGTAAAGCTTTCTGTAATTGTGGACCTCCAAATTTTATAAATTATGGAGCAATATCTGCTTTTCCAATCATCATTTTATCAATAGCCCACATGACATCCTCCTTCCAGATCGCTGTCGGCCCTGTCCGGCTAACCAAGTACCATTTTGTGCACTATTTTATCTGGGAAGAAAGAGTTTCCAATGAGGCCGTAATCTTTTTTTTTTTTTTTTTTTGCTTTCTCCATGTAGGCACATAACATCATGGGCATTTGAATGGTCTCTTACAGTCCTTGCGTTGAAATCACCCATTACGATAATCCCTTTGTTACAGCTCTGATCTCCGATCACCTTTGTCTCTAGCTCAGAATAGAACTGTTCTTTGTCGTCGATAACATTTGCATGCTCTGTCGGGACATAAACTTTTATTAGCGCAATTCTTCCTATTGACAGATCCATATATCCTTGAAGATATGGGCTGCCAATTTTCTACTTTGGCAAATATGCTTTCTTTCATGATGATGGTAACCAACACCTTAATTATCGTGAACTCATAATTATTTTATCAAATAAATCTTCGGTTTATCAAATTGTCCGGCAATGCGATTGCAGACGCGATTGCACACTCGGCCACCCCGTCCCCAAGATTGCAAGACATCTGATAATCTTTTGAAAGATATCTGGTGATCCTTCTATTGTTGATGTAAAGTCTGAAAACGGTCCTTGCTATGTCTTTTTGAACTTCTCTTTCCGATGTCTTGTTTTATAAACCTGCTGAATGCTTTGATCATATCAATTAAGCATGTAATGACTCCTTTATTAATTTTTAAATATTTTTTCTGACATTAGTTTTTGATTATTAAAATTAATAAAAGCCGGCTAGAGATTTAGAATTTTGACCATTACGTGAAATGCGAAGGTATTAAACTCGCAAATGAGAAAATAGGCTCCTAGCCGATTTGGAGTGTGAGAGAGTAGCACCTTCTAAAATCCCGCTTTGGACGCCTAAAACCCACGCGACTCCTGTTTTGCATCGATATATATTATCGAAATTCGTAAGTACGTACCTTAAAGTAAATCTCCATAAAAAATGTATTTAATGACTTTTTTTTAATAAGCAGAAGATACATACATGCATTTATGGCGCATATCTAATACGAAATGTAATATTGTTTAATACAGCTCTTAAATATTGACTAAGCTTCAAAAATTATTGAATGAAAGAGCTTAAATAAAAAAAAAAATATTGATTTCAACACATACAAGCATTTATAGTGCATACCTAATATAAAATGTAATATTGTTCAATACAGACCTTAAATATTGAGTATCCTTCAATAATTATTGAACGAAAGAGCTTCAATTAAAAAAAAAATGATTTCAACCAATATAATTGATGCAATGTACCTTCAAAACGGTCAATAGTGTTAGATATATAGGTCCTCGTATGCCTACTTTTAGTAGTCTTGATCTGTGGATTAAGACCGATTTGTCACTGTTCTTGAACCCGACCGAGTCGATGGGAAGGAAGCTGCTAAATTAACTCCAAAGGAGCATTGGTTGGCCCGCTTCTGAACCATGGAGACAATGGTCCGCAGCAACCTATGGTCGGGTGACCCCTCTCAGACTATCTGTGATCCAACAAGTAATATAATTCTGTGAGAAGAGCATATCACACGGCCAAAGATCTACGTGGTCTATAGCGCCATCCTTAAAAAAAAAAAAATATATTAAGGACTGTTCATTCAATAGAGCGACTAAAACGGAAATGAACGATGTTACTTTTTAGAATATTGGTTTGAATGCAAAAATGACAGTTAAAGTAGAATAGAATAGAAAATAAATTTTATTCTAGAACAAGCTCCCTTAAGAATAACAATTATAAACCAAAAACTACATCTGGCCAAAAATTACATTAATCAAAATTAAAGAATATATACAATATCTTCAATGAAAATATACAAAAAAAAAAACCAAATCATTTTGAAAATACAAAACTAACATTATTGAAATGAAAAGAAAAACAGAAATAAGGGGAAATAAAAAACAAAATGCTATAAGCACTATGAGTTGATTCTTAAAATTAAAACTCAAACAATTTCAAGAACCATTCACCTCAATCAAAATTTGATTCATAAAATGTATTTCATTGTACAGCGTCATTTTGGGATGTGAGAAGGAATTGGTAAAGATGATGTTTGAATGAGGATAGGGAAGAGGCATGATGGATATCAGATGACAAGGAATTTCAGAAGGCAGTGGATCGGGAAATAAAGGAATATTCAAATGACTTAGTTTTATGGAAAAGGATATAAAGGTCGGAAACAGGAGATCTTGTTTTCTGGGAGTTGACCATGGGTATGAACTGTAGGAGGCTGTAGATGTTGGAATAGTATCGGGAGTTGATCGTTTGGAATACATAAGAACCAAGGAAATATTGTCGGCAGGAAGAAGGGAAAGAGACACTTTAACTCGTCGTAAAGGTGGGATACACGAGACCGCCTCGAAGAACCGAAGACAAATCTTAAGAAGAAGTTCATAAGTCGCTTTAATCTATCCCCGTGTGCCATCGGGATGCCTCGGTACAACACACAGCCGTAGGCAAAGGGGGGGCATAAGAGAGGATACGAGGAGCCTGCAGATAGGTTGTGGGAGTAGATGACTTAAGGGTACCTATTGACTTTCGGGAAATGAGGGCGATGTGGAGTTTCCAGGAGAGGTTTTCGTCAATGGCGACTTCTAGATTTTTAATGGAGGAACTGAATGTGATAGGATGATTTTTGATGACTTACGTGCATATCCCTCCTCTATTTTTTATGATCTGTTGGCTTCTATGTCTACCCACCATCAACCTCTTTGTTAATTATCAGCAATCACGAAGGTTACTATAGTGTTATGGTCGGTCAATCGCTAGGTGTAAGATTAATGTTTTAGGTTCCTCATCACTACTATCTGTTTATCCTTGTTTAAGGTATCCTCAAAAATTAATTTTTATTTTCGGATTATTAAATAAAATTATTGCTTCTACATATTTGATGTTTTTTAAATGTGAAATTAGTCTATAGATTACTTCCTTTGAACCGCCCCCCATTACTGCTGTTATCATCTACCCTAAAGTTTGTTTAAATTTTTATCATATATTTTTCTTTTTTAGAGATGACGGACTCAAAGTATTTCACAACCACCAAAAAAGGTGAAATATTTGAATTAAGATCTGAATTGAACAGTGATAAGAAGGAGAAAAAAAGAGAAGCAGTTAAAAAAGTAAATAGCTACTATTACTTAAGTATAATATTAGTGATTGCCTAATATCCAATTAAATATTTATGGATTACAATTTTTTATACCTTTGTCTTGTAGGTCATTGCTTCTATGACAGTTGGAAAAGATGTGTCAGCTCTTTTTCCTGATGTTGTTAATTGTATGCAGACTGATAATTTAGAACTTAAAAAATTAGTCTATCTGTATTTAATGAACTATGCTAAGAGTCAACCCGACATGGCAATAATGGCTGTTAATACCTTCGTCAAAGTGCGTATTTACACACAATTTTATTTTTTATTAATTATTTATCTTCCTTATTCTTATACAAAACTTGGTTTATTGTTTCTAGATCCGATTGCAGTAGCTGTTAATAATTTCAACTCTTGAATTTTTACTGTTTATTAGTACAATTAATGTAAATTAACTACTAATAAAATAAGGGCAAATAAATTATTTTATAACAGCTTATTTCATCTATATTTTTACAATCCCTTTTGGGTTTTTTTAGTCATGTTATTAAGAGTTAAGTGTAAACAAATTTATTTGCTCAACCGTACTCTTTATATACATTAGTATTATAATTTCTAGCAATAGATTGATTCAAACTTTTTTTAAGTTGAATTATATTTTTATATATTTTAAACTTTTTTAATTCGAATATTTTAAAAATATATTTCGAAAATTTATTTTATCAGAATTATTTCTTATATATTTCTCATTTTTTTATTTTTATTTTAAGTTTATTATTCTCTAATTAATGAAACAGTGCATTATTATGTTACTTTTACAAATCAAAAAATCAAATTTAAATTTGAAATCTAAAGTTAGGTTAAAATTTCAGCGATTGTTTTCTTTTATATATAAGTTGTGGAATTTCAAACCTACTCTTTTCTATTTTACAAAATATTTGTATAATCACAATTGTTTTGCAGAGTATTTATTAAAAATGTACTATTTGGAACTATTATTTTGTGATTATCAGATTTTCATAAACCTATAGCTGTTATATGAGGCTGCATTTGACCTTCGTGACTTTCTTCTGCAGCCTTGATTAAAGCCACTTTCTTACACTAATTGATATTTACTTATATAGATTACCATAGCGTCAAAATTAATAGTATAAAAATAGTGAAGCATAAAAATTGTTTAGTTAATTTCTTTATTACTACTTAATTTAATATGGCTCTCTAACGATAAAAAGATTTCTCACTTCTAGTATAAACCTATAGTTTTTTTTTTATTTAATTTTTTATCTTGAATTTTTAATCAAACATGATTAAATTCTAATAAATAATCTAGGTTGCAAATAATTGTAAGCAAATTATTAAATAATTAAAAAATTAATTCTAAGGGCATGTTTCTGAACTCAACACTCATTCCATCGGTTGACTCCATCAATGATATGTGTTGAGATTAGAGACATCATTCATTCTAGTGGAAGGTTACCACTCCCGACAGGTAATGAATCACATAAATAAACTTGTAAAATGGATCTAATAGAAATAATATTATATCTATATCTATAATATTATAATAATATTATAAATAATATCTAATAGAAAACTTAGGTAAAACATTTCTTGCTACAGTAGGCTGAGAATTATACAATCAATTAATGTTGACCAAATAGTGTTGACTATTCTGTTAATTCGATTCCATCTTTAGATTCTTTCAAACATAATAATCTTAATATTTAAACAACTGGGAAACCAGTATCCATCTATCTCATACCAGATCAAAATCCTGCCTTTTGGTCATTCTATGTCAGATTGACCAATAGTATGAAAATTTAAATCTCATAAATCAATAATTTTTTTTGTGCATTTATAGTAATGTCAGTTAAGATTAAAAAATAAATACTTTCGGGCTATTCCCATTTTTTTAATCATAATTTTTTTTAAAATGTCTATTTTTGGACATATTTTGTTAAAATGATAGACAAAGTTTCTTCATCGTGGAAGATTTTATTTTGAGACAAAGTAGATCAGTTGATTTTGATCCATCTATTAAAACAGACATTGGGACCAATGGTGATTTAATGATCGAATAAAAAGATTGCCAGACAGTTAAATAAAGTCTAATAAAATTATGATGAGTTTAGAATCATTGAAAACTTAGCGATTATTCACCTATTAAAGATAAGATTAAATCAAATTTTTAATAATGGTGATGAAATTTTTTCTCGTTGGAGCAAATATAAATATCTAATCCTTTCCTTAACTCACTTTTAGGTATTAAATATAAATTTAAAAGTATTTATTCTCATTATAACTATTAATTTGTGTAAATAACATTATTTATTGTTTGTTTTATTCAGGATTGTGAAGATGCTAACCCTCTTATAAGAGCTCTTGCTGTAAGAACGATGGGTTGCATTAGAGTTGACAAAATAACTGAATATCTTTGCGAACCACTCAGAAAATGTCTGAAAGATGAAGACCCCTATGTGAGGAAAACAGCCGCAGTATGCGTTGCAAAATTATATGACATCAATCCCCAGCTTGTTGAAGATCAAGGTTTCTTAGATCAGCTCAAAGAACTTTTATCTGATTCCAACCCAATGGTTTGTTTTTATTTATCATGTTGAAAGACTATGAATCTGTATTTACTTCTGATCTATTGTTTTGTTGGATAATTATTTTAGGTTGTAGCTAATGCTGTTGCAGCACTCTCAGAAATGAACGAAGCCTCAGTTAATGGGGCTCCCCTCATTGAGATGTCTGCCGCGACTATAAACAAACTTCTTACTGCCCTCAATGAGTGCACAGAATGGGGTCAAGTTTTCATTCTAGATTCTTTGGCCAATTATAGTCCTAAAGATGAAAGAGAAGCTCAGAGGTAAGATTTTTTTCATAAAAACTCTATTGAAAGGCTCTAAGTTGATTTGATAATGTTTAATACTTCATTAATAACTCAGACAATTATCAGCAACAATAACAGTTAATAGTTATTTATTATAATGATATCACAAGAAGGTCCAATGACCAATTCATTATTGATTGAAATCAAGTTTTTGAATAATGAAAAAAATGTTTATTTCATTCTATAAAAACTTGAGTTTATTTACCAATAAGCTAGTTTAGTGATATTAATATCGTCAACTTTACCATTGAATTTTTTTTTTTTTTTTTAATTGTAACTTAGGAATAAATAGAGGAAAATCTTATCATAGATTTTCATACAAATTTTGTTACCATTTTTTTATATATCCCAACTTATTACCTCCTTAATTTATATATGATATATTTGCTATTCCACACATTTATTAATGTAAAGTTTAACTACCTACGTAGTATTTGACTCAACTATTTTACATACCTATTATTACTATTAATGTCTACTATTTTCTCAATATTTATATGTTTTCTTGTCTTTGCTTAACCCTGATGAAGGCCTGAAACATTGGCACAGAGGAAATCAAAATAAATATAATTCATTCATTTGTACTTTTTACTCTCATTGTCTGAAAGCCCGACCAACTTCCCTTCAATTTATTCTTTAATAAATTTACACTTTAATATTTATTCTAGTTTCATATTTGTAGTATCTGTGAACGTATTACTCCAAGACTAGCTCATGCTAATGCTGCTGTCGTTTTATCTGCAGTAAAGGTTTTGATGAAGTTTTTAGAAATGTTGCCATCTGAATCTGACTTTGTATCAACTTTGACAAAGAAGCTTGCTCCCCCATTGGTTACCCTGCTGTCATCCGAACCTGAGGCAAGTTTTACATAATATTATATTCTTTATTTATTATTTGTAGTTTTCAAAGATAATAATTACAGAAGTTGAGGAATTTTTTTTTTCATTAATTAGTATATTAAGTAAACTCTCTGTTCTAGGTTCAATATGTCGCTTTGCGAAATATAAATTTGATTGTACAAAAACGCCCAGATATCCTGAAACATGAAATGAAAGTCTTCTTTGTGAAGTATAATGACCCTATTTATGTTAAACTGGAAAAACTGGATATCATGATTAGATTAGCTTCTCAAGCTAACATAGCTCAAGTTCTTTCCGAATTAAAAGAGTAATTATCCATTTACTTCTGGTGTTTATCTTTATTATGACTTAAATTAAATCATGCGAAATTCTACAGGTATGCAACAGAAGTTGATGTAGATTTTGTGAGGAAAGCAGTGCGAGCAATTGGCCGATGTGCCATAAAAGTTGAACAATCTGCTGAACGTTGTGTTTCTACTCTTCTTGACTTAATTCACACTAAGGTATTTTATTCAGATATTATCATTTTCATTGAGCTTCACAATCTTACCAAATTTTCTTTTTTCACACGTAAATGTTGGTTCATAAATCATTAAACTTGAGTAATAATTTTCAGCTTTTATAGAATTATATTTTTCTTGTAATAATCTGTGATCAGTGTTTTATATATAGCTCTTAATTAAGTTTATTCCCATTTTAATATTTAAAAAATCATTGCATAATTTGATTTGAATGATGTATAGATGTCAGGATAGTTTCAAAACCAATCGTTCTTTATCATTAAATTTAGATTTCATGTAGTGAAAATATACTATGGTAATCCTTAGTACTTTTATATTAAATTCACATTTTTATTTTCATAAGACAATTTCGTTTGAGAAATTTTAAATAATGTCCGTTGTCAACTTACATGCTTTGCATCTTTACATTTTAATGAATATTATATTGCTATTAAGACGTTGACAATTTCATTTCAAAATAACATATAAAAATTAATTTGCTGCTGAGAAATTCTGTCTCTTAATTATACTAATTAACTTAGCACCAATTCAACGTTTTGGTCCATATCCTAGACTTCACCAGCACATCTTATTAGATAGAGTTCTCTGACTAAACTTAAAAACTAAAGTTTGTGTACCACACAATATGGGAATCTAAAAAAAATGTTTAAAAAGTTTGAATTTTAACATACATCAATTATGCATTCATCAAAATTACCCCCCCTCAAAAAAAAAAAAAATTAATTGGAATAATTTTATGAGGTCCATAATATATTTCAAATTATCATTGCAACACATTTCATCGATAAAATACATTAATTTATCACATCTTTTTGAAAGTGATTGATGCAGTTTTGAATTTCTTATAAATTAATTAAATTATTTATTGTTAATTTTCAGTCGTATTCATAATCTTTAACTTGTGTTTTTTTGCTAATTTAGGTGAATTATGTTGTTCAAGAAGCCATTGTCGTCATAAAGGATATTTTTAGGAAATACCCTAACAAATACGAAAGTATTATTTCGACATTATGTGAAAATTTAGACACTTTAGATGAACCTGAAGCAAGGTATTTTTTTTTTCTCATTTTATTGTAATATTTATTTCTAATACTATATTTTATAAAAACTATAGTATTATTTTGTTTGTACTAATTAAATTTTTAATTCATTATATTTTAGGGCTTCTATGATTTGGATAGTAGGTGAATATGCTGAAAGAATCGATAATGCAGATGAATTACTGGAGTCATTTTTGGAAGGTTTTCACGATGAAAATACACAAGTTCAACTCCAACTCCTCACGGCTATTGTTAAACTATTTCTAAAGAGGCCTACTCACACTCAGGAACTAGTGCAACAGGTCAGATTTTTTATTATTATTATCATCAATTGAACCATTGAAGTGTTTTTAATCATCCCAATGGTTCATATGCTCGAATTAAAATGATAATACAGGTAAATTAATAAGTGTACATGTCCAGTTAACTGAATTCCCAATTCCTAGGCCCATTTATAAGTCTAGCTACATTAGGCAATTTATTTTATTTATGGAATAGTTGATTATAGTAATCCGAAACTTTCAGGCTGAAGCACCCTTCACTCCTCCTTTCCCAAAAAAATAGAAATTTTTTTTCTCTTCTGTATTTGTTTCTGTGAGTGATCTAAGCTAAATACTTCAACAATCACAATATGTATTCTTTTAAATTATAATGCATATAAGCTAATAAACATAAGCATGTATCAAGAAAGATAATGTAAATAATTCATCCCGAAAAGCATTATTGTTACTATTATTATCTAATTTTTTTTATTGGCCTTTTTTTTTCGATTCCTCCCTACCTTACTATTTCTGGCACGTGGGAGGGTTGTTCTAGTGGTAGAACCAAAACTATTTTAACCAGAGTAAAAAGGTCGAGATTTGCTCCGTGAGTTCGCCACAAAATAAATTTCAACACACTCAGACGCACTTACGGATCCAGGATTTATTTTTGAGGGGGAGGGAGTTGGCCCGAAAACTTTTTTTATATAAATATAACGATGATTACTTTGGAAAAAAATAAAGAAACTAAATGAAATGGTATATTAGTGATTTTTTAAGTCCTATTAAATGTAATTACATGATACTGTAGTAATATGTAATTACATAATGTAAGAGATAATTGTTTAATATTCTATCATAAGACATGGTTATATTTTACCATTTTGGAAGGGAGGGGGCTTCAGCCCAAAATTTTAGTTTAAACCAGACTACTTATGTAAATTATGCACTTAAACTATCTTTGTTCCCCATGAATACATTAAATACTGGATTTTTTTTTTTTTTGAACATTGGAAATTTTTATTTATTTTTTTAATATTTATTAGGTATTGAGTCTAGCTACCCAGGATTCTGACAATCCTGATCTCAGAGATAGAGGATTCATATACTGGAGATTGTTATCAACTGATCCTGGTGCTGCCAAAGAAGTTGTACTTGCTGAGAAACCACTAATTTCAGAAGAAACTGATCTTCTAGAACCGACTCTCTTAGATGAGCTCATATGTCATATTTCTTCCCTTGCTTCAGTTTATCACAAGCCACCTACTGCTTTTGTTGAAGGCCGAGCTGGTTTGAGGAAGTCCTTACCAGCAAGGTAGGTTGAACTTATGTTTATTTTATGGTTACAAAGTTTCAGCAATTTCATATTTCTGAGATATAAATCAATCCTTTTTTTTTTTTTTTTTTTTTTCTTAATGATATTTACAACTGTATAACAGAAATACATTTAGTAAATTTGAACATATGGATATAATGACGTGAAAACACTTGTTGAGAAACTACTCGATGGTAGCACTCTAATGATATGTCTACGTCTCCTCTCTTAAGAGATCATGGAGCCATCTTCTTTTCAGACGCCTTGGAGGATTATCAGGAATTGAAGAGGAAGCAAGATTAGAAACGAGAGGGTTGGGATGATTCTGAAGGTTATTATGGAAGGATAGGTATCTGGATTGGGTCAGATCTGAAACATTAAGGTCATTATGGATGGTTTTATTTGTAACAAAGTAGGGAGTATTAAGTAGTAAAATACTTAATACTTGAAGGATTTTGGATTGTAAGGATTGGATACGATAGGAATTCGATGGTTTAGTGGAGCCCCATAGCTCAACTCCGTAAGTCCAAATAAGCCTTATTATAGTCATGTATATGAGTCTTTTGTAATTAATTGGAAGTTTAGAGCGTTTGTCTAGTCAGTGCTGAAGTAATCAGAAACGTCGAGCGGTTTCTTGTTGTTTCAGTCTGGTATGAGGATTCCAATTAAGAAGTTTGTCTAGGTGGATTCCTAGGTATAAATCATCCTTAAAATATGTTAAGTGATTGTTTTTATTTTATTCATGCTTCTCTCATTAACTTGATATAGTATTTGATTTAACTTTTTGTGATATGTGTTGTTTTTCAGTAATGTTTAGTTATTTGAGATTGTAGCTATTTGATGTGTTGTGCATCATACTATTTTTAAGGTTCGAAAACCCATAATAAAATTTATTTTGTTTTTCTCTTCTGATTATATTTATTTCTTTGTGAAGACCTGATCTTTCTGTTTTGATTTTACTAAATATGAAATAATAATTTGTGGCAGCCTTCCAAACGCATATAATTAATTGCCTTCAGTCTGCTTCATTCCATACATTTCCATGGTCAAATAGTGTGACAATAATAAATATATCACGTAACATAAGGATTTCTTGCAAAAACTTTAGCATTTACTTTATGAGAGGAATCCTGCTCCACCTTTTCAACAGAGAAGCTGCATAATTTTTATTTTTTATTCACTTCTTTTATTTATTATATGTTTATTACTTAATTTATTATTTTTATTTGTTTAATTTACTTTTTTGATAATTTTAATCTCTATGGACTTAGAAAAACCAAAATTCATTATTGCTTTTAACGTACTAAAAATAAATGCTATATTTAATTTTTAAGAAGTAAAGAAGTAGTTTCCCCTTTCTAATCTAGTCAAAGTACCTTTTACTTTAGTTCAGTATAGTTTCGCAACAAATGTTTAAACATATAATATAATACGATGTTTCTTTAAGATTTGAATTTTTTTTTTTTTTTTTTTCACGTCAAAAGAGTTCTATATCAAGCTTTATCTAGTATCTGTTTTCATTGAATGGATGTTTACAGTTTTTATCTTTCTTTTTTTTTTTTTTTAAACTTTCAAGTTTTAACTAATATTTTAAAGTATAGCAGTACTGCTTTCCCAATGTTTATTCAACATTAATAATGTCTTATAGATCTGGATCTGCTGAAGTGGTGCAAGAAACTCCTGGTGCGCAAGTTATTCCTTCACAAGATTCACTGATAGGGGACCTGTTGTCTATGGATATCGGTGGGGTCTCAGCCCCTCCTCCACCTCAACCGACGTCTGCTCCTGTTGATCTTCTGGGTTTGGATTCACTTGTAAGTTGATTGAAGGAGGCTTTTCTTTATTAGATATGTACTGCTATTTACTCATCACGAGTATTAGACCACAATTTTTTCAAATATACATAAATTTCATGTTCAAGGTTTAATACATAATATTTAATCAGTAAAAGTTTCAATCATTTATAGCACAAAATGATTTGATTTAATATTCGTACCGAAAAAATTAGAAATAAAATGTTTACTTTTAATTACAGCTTGGAGGGGTGCCTGAACCTGCTGTCTCTCAGAGTACAACCGGTTTGCTTGGAGATATATTTGGTTTAGGAACAGCTGGGCCTACTGCATATGCTCCACCCAAAACCATGTGGCTCTCCAGCGATAGGGGTAAGGGGTGTGAAATATCTGGAACTTTTTCTCGAAGGTAATTTTTAAAATTTATTCCTTATAGTATTTTTTTTTTCAAGTAATACTCTTTGGTACCTGCACTATCCTTAAGTATTTCATTGAAATTAGATTAATAGTTATACATTTTATGCCCATTACATGGACTTGACTACTGACAGACAGACCAACAGACACAAAGCTGAGGTTTTTTCCTTGAGGATAAATTTTCAATTCTAAAAACAAAATTTTTATTCTTTTCTTAGATAAATACAATGCATCCCTAGCTTCAGTGAGGAAGCAAAAATATCTTTCAAAAGTTGTCTAAATTGTCATACTTTTTAATAATTAAAAAGTACCATTACCTGCTATGACGACCATCCACCATCATATCCAAGTTCCTGTTGCATTAAAATTAATTTTTTAACCATATTCAAAGATGAACTCTTAAAAATATCAAAATATGCACATAACAGACCTGATTGTAATTAGTTCCATCATACGAGGGGAACCAAAAAAAAAAAAAACGAGAATTTCATTATAACTTCTTTATTTCTTAATATTTTTACACCAAATTTTGATTGCCTTCAAAGTATTCTCCCTTGGCCACAACGCACCTTTCCAAGCGGTCCTTTCATTGTTCAAAACATTTTTTAAATTCACTTATTTGATGTTCTTTAGCCCTTCCAGTAATTTTTGTTTTACCTCCTCCACAGTTGCAAAACACTTTCCTCTCATGTCCCTTTTGAGTCTGGGGAACGAAAAGAAATCACAGGGGAGTTAGATCCAGTGAGTAGCGGAATGGACAATCGGTGTCAAGCCGATTTTTTGTCAAAAACTGCTTTTCAGAGAGGGGGGTGTGGGCCGTCTTGCCATGATGGAAGAACAAGTCAATCAGTGCTCCAAAGATCTGCCCTTTTCTTCCGGATTCTCTTCCTCAATCTTTTCAAAATCTCCAAGTAGAACTTCTGGTTGACAGTTTGACCCGAGGGAATGAACTCTGCATGCACAACACCTCTGCAATCGAAGAAACAAATGAGCATTGTCTTGATGTTTGACTTCACTTGGTGAGCTTTTTAGATGAGGAAAGCCAGCTGTCTTCCACTGGCTTGATTCCTGCTTTGTTTCGGGGTCGTATCCATAGCACCACGATTCATCACCAGTAATCACCTTGAAAAAAAATTCAGGGTCCTCTTTGAGCTGATTTTGAAACTCAAAACATATCTGAAGTCGACGCTCCCTTTGCTCACCTGTGAAAAGACGAGGGTCAATTTCGCTGCAACTCTTCTCAGTTGCAAATCTTCAGATAAAATCCTCTGGATTGAACTCCATGATATTCCAGACATCTCACAGAGTTAATCAATGGTTCGGCGACAGTTTTCACAAACGAGAGCATTGATTTTGTTGATGTTGAGGGGCATCCTGCTCAGGGTTGGTCTTAAATTGACATTTCTCCATTTGTAGAATGTGAAAACTACTTGTAGACTCTGGTTTTACTTATGGTTGCATCCCCATAAGCAGTTTTAAGCATTACAATAGTTTCTGCGACCAATTACTCCGATAGGAAACAAAATTTCACGTTGTTCTTGACAATCGGCCATAACGTTTTCGGCGAAATAGAAAAAGTTGTTTCACTTAAAAAATTCTCACAGGCAAACCAACACACTCACAGCGACACAACTTCACACACCAACTCATGAGTCATGTCTCTAATGGACACCAGATCGAGAAATGGGTTCTCCCACTCTTCCTCCCTACCACAGCCAAATTCCCGTTACTTTTGGGTCTCCCCTCTGGGTAGAGTGGCATAAATTTTATTTATATTAATCGAAATTCATTTTATTAATCATAATTTGTGGTAAGCTTACAAAATAGAACTACAATAAATTGATTTATTTGCCAAGATATTTTATCTTACAATATGTAAAACAGTATCTATTATTTCAATATATTTTGCAATATTTGATACAATGTATTTATTATAACATATATATATATTTTACTTAATAATTGTTGTTGAAGAATATTTTACTTAAGATCGAAGAGTGTTAACTATAAAAAAAAAAAAGGGATCAAAACGTCAAATAAACAGCACGATCAATGAATATTTTGTAGTTAATTGAACAATTATTAAGTGACCTAATTCCCAATTAAATAATTATGTTCATATATATATTAAATGTAAATATTAATTAAATATCTGTTTTTTTGTTTTTGTGAGGTTGCATCGGACAACCTAAGAACTAACAGTTTTGATTTTATTGTGTTCTTATGTAAATATATATGTATAAATTATATATATATATATATATATATATATATATATATATATATATATATATATATATATATATATTTATCATTATTGAAATTTACAACTATATTAAATGATAAATACAACAAGTAAATATGAAACAAGTAACATGACATATACTACATGAAGAGAAACTACCCATTGGTAGCACTCCAATTGTGTAAATATTAAATTAAATTATATCAATAAAACAGATATGGTTATATATATTGTGTTATATCTCATTTTTTTTCTCTACGAGGGTCCTGGAGATTTGTGACTGTTTGCTATAAAATAAATAATATAATGACCATAAAATCAATTTTATATTAAACTAATCTCAACCATTGTGCCATATTTTTTAAAGAGTTAACTTTTTTTTTTCTCCATAGAAATGGCCAAATCCAAATGGATATGACCATTGTGAATAAAGCTATGCAGCCGATGACTAGCTTTGCCATACAACTGAATAAGAACAGGTAACTAACTATCTATTATCATTAATATTTTATGTATATAATGGCATCTAATTAATTTTTAAAATATTTTTAGTTTATTCTAGTTCTCTATTAAGAAACATGGCTTGTATGTAATCCAACCAGTATTAGTTGCTGTTTACCAATTATCTGCATTATAGTGTGCTGTTTCACAAATAACGTACAGTCAAAATTTAATTTTAAAAATGTTATGTAATATTATTATTCTTTACAATGTCCTTGGATAGCTTGACGATCGATAATTCTGCTGTATTATTTTTTATTTGGAATTATGTTTGAAAAATTTCAATTTATCAGGAATTTGTAGTTTTTACTCTAACAATTCCATTTCTTCATTAGTACTTGGCAACAAGTATAGAAAGGATAGAGAAGAGGGGTTGATATCTAAGTTGAACTGTTGGTGAGTCAATTAGAGATTTTGTGAAATCGTAAATTAATGTATCTATTAGCTCCTACCATTCCAGCTTTGCCATCTGTTCTGTATTGCTTAGTTTTGGCAAAGCGTTGAGCTCTCGCTGTAAGAAGTTAGGTAACAATTTTTCGTTATCAAATTGAGAAAGAATGTTTATAATTGATTCTTCTGGGTCATTCTAAAAAATTAACTCTTAATTAAAAAATCGACCAAATTCCTACGTAGTTCTGATAATAAATAACTTTTATAGTTCTGACTTCATTTTGAATTTAGTCCAATAAAATGATGAAAAAAACTTTAACTTTTACAGTTTCACAACTTGAAATTTTTTATACTGTATGTTGTTGCCATGATAAGTAGTTCTCATAAATGAGATATTACAATTATTTGTTTTATTTTCTTCTAGTTTTGGTGTGACTCCAGCCAGAGCTCTCCAGGTTTTGAGTCCATTACCACCTGGAGTGTCACATGACTGCTCATTACCTTTAGTTACTACTGGAGCAGTACAAAGAATGGAACCATTGACTAATCTTCAGGTTTTCTAATTAATTATTTTATATTTTATCATTTGGATGATGGTAATTTATTATTTTATTTATTTACTTAATTTTTTTTCCATAGGTTGCTATAAAAAACAATATTGATGTTTTCTATTTTGCTTGTGTTATTCCAATGCATGTATTCTTCACGGATGATGGACAAATGGATAAGCGGGTGTTTCTCGCTACTTGGAAGGACATTCCAGCTCAAAACGAAGTTCAATACACACTTACAAATGTCCAGTCTAATGCAGGTATGCGTTATATTCACTTTTATACTAATGCTTGTTTGTGATACATTAATATTTATAATACAATAAATGACATTTACATTTCTATTTTTAGATATAGTTGTCCAAAAAATGCAAGAAAATAATGTTTTCACTATTGCTAAACGAAATGTTGAGGGACAGGATATGTTATATCAATCAGTTAAACTGACCAATGGTATTTGGGTACTGATTGAATTGAAAATACAACCAGGAAATCCAAATATTACTGTAAGTCAAAATATATATATAGAATAGAAATTGAATAGAAAAAAGAACTTTATTCTGGGACTAAGTCCCCTTAGAATAACAAAGTTAATTAATACAAAATAAAATACCAATCTGGCCAAAAACTAACTTATAAAAATTCTAACATAATATACATTATTTAAAAGGTAGTATGTAACCACTAAGAAATAAACAAAAAAAATATACATATTTATAAATACACGCACATATACATACATACACATATATATACATATATATATATATATATATTTCGTTATCTTTTCTTTTACTTTATAATTTATCATAAATGATTATAAAATACATTAAACCTTAAGATATTTAGGGAATTGTATTATTTTTATTACCATTTTCATCTTAATTGAAAAATAATCTTATATACAAAGGAAGAATTCTTGTGTATGTTATTACTATTTATTTATTTTTTAATTGATAATTTGAATATTATATACTATTGTGTGTTATTTTAAATATAATATTATCTTGTCAACATTTTACTATTTCTAATTTTGTTTTGAAATAAAAATCCTTATTTGTTTTATGCTTTACATTACTCAAATAATTATTAAAGTATAACTAATGATTCTATTACTTCATATTCTTCATTAATTTCTATGTAATTTGGTTTTCAGCTTTCTTTGAAATCGAGAGCTCTCGATATAGCTGCTGGTATATTCCAGGTATACGATGCTATTCTTCATTCTTAAACCATTCCAGTATATTATATTAAGAATCGGTTGTTGATATACTAGAAAAAATATTTATTATATAAATGCTATATAAATCTTTATTTATAATAACTTGTTATTTAAGTATGTAAAATAAAATAAAAATTGTAACTTTTGTTATTATTATACTTTCTTTTTATATTAATGTAAGCATTATGTTATAATGTATTCAATGTATGTTGCAATATATGATGATATACCACCTAAATTGAATTTTGTTTTAATTTCCATGATTACAATAGTTTATTTCATTTATCAACCAGAGGTAAGTTTTATTTTTATTTTATATTAAGTATTGGTTATTTATTAAAACATTTTTCATATATAAAAAACATTGTGGTCACATGAAGAGAATGAGAAAAGACAGTATAAACAAATATTTTACAATGTAATGGGACTGAGGAAAATCAAAGGACATGCTGAACAGATCAAGGAAGAACTAGCAAGAATTTGGAATAAAAGAAGATGAATACCTTGGTAGGAATAAATTCAGGAAAACTGAATAAGATTGTAATAGAAAAGAGGAGAAAGGAAAAAGGTAATGAATGAAAAAAATGAACTTTGGGCTAAAAAGAAACTCAAGAAATATTGATATACTCCCGAATCTTAGCTGGCCTTTAATCCGAAAAAAATTAATTTGGTTTCAATACACACTTAATAAAAAAGGTTAATGTTTGATTATAAACGCTTAATAATCAATCACATAATATTCCTGCAGATTATTCACTCAGAAATACATCATCAAACAAAAGGTGTCTGGTTTTACAGGTTAGCAGGAGCGGTTCAAGGATTTAATTTTGGAAAAGGGCTTCATTACAGAAAACTTAAATATATGTATAAAAATTTACATATATGTATACACATATATATATAACCAATGTCGGCCTCAGAGTGGGGCAACCTGGGTGCCAGCCGATCTTCAGAGGCGCTCACCACATGTAAGAATTAAAACAAAAGTATCAATAAAGCAACTGTATTAGAGAAATGTTGAATAAAGTACAATTCAAATATTACATATAAAACACCTTAAGAAATAAATTTATTTTTTGTAGAGGAGAGGGATGTCACCATTGCTGGTGAGGGGGGGATGCCCAATGTTTAAGACTGATACTGTACATAATGACAATTCCATTGTTTGTTAATTTTTTTTTTATAAGTTTCTTTATTATTCACTTCCTCCAACTTATGATGTTCTTTATGTTGTTTGACGTGAAAATTTTCAAATCCCAGTTTTCAATGGAAATATATGTTTTGAGGTCCCCTGAGTCCAAATAACCAAGTCTCCCAAAATGGTCTCTCATTCACTCACTCACACTCTTTGTGGGGTGCGTGTATGAACAGTCTAGCTCAAAAACGAAAAGTCGTAAGAAACTGATATTACATATTTAAGATAGGTATATGCCATAGATATGACAGCAACTTATTCCTTAAAATCGACTAACCGGAAGTGCCACTTTATATCAACGGTGAAACACATTTTTACAATTTTCTCAAAAACGGCTCCAACGATTTTGATTAAACACGGTTTAACCATTGTATAATTAAGTGGTCTTTAATATCATTGAGGTCTTATCGCCATTGATGTCATTTTACAGGGCTTAAATGCCCAATGTTCATATGTCTTCCTCTAAAGTACCTTTAATGTGGTTTATTTTGAAAATTTAACTCTCTTTTATTGACAGTAATAAAAAATCGCTAAACATAAGTTACGAAGAAAGTAGAAAAAAAGAAAAATGCTTATCAGGTCGAAAATGAATCTCCGAAATAATAGACAGAAGGTATAATACGTATAATATATCGTTGGAAAGCGGAGAAGTTTAGGAAAATTAATATCAAATAAAGAAAGTTGTAGAAGGTAACGGAGAGTGACAAAAATATATAAATAATAATTTCAGAAAACTAACATTATTTAACCTCGCGCGGGCTCATTACCGCGTATGGGGAGCGTCCCACGGGTGGCGGATGTGGGGATGGTCGGTGGAAATTCCTTGGAAGTTCCTCCCGGCTAAGTCCGATGGACTCGCTGACCAACAATGAGAGGGGCCCTCCAGACTTGCTGGAGGGAGGGGACCTCCAGACTTGCTGGAGGGAGGGGACCTCCAGACTTGCTGGAGGTAGGGGCCCACCAGACTTGGTGGAGGGTGTGGCGTAGGTTTGAACGCCCTACTCACATATCTTTAGTTCACCAAACACCACAAAAAGTCATGGATCTCCCTAAGGTAAAACGCTCATTATCCGGAGGTAAACTAGTCCCCCGTTCGGGTCTCCGGGTGGGGACTGCTTTAGGGGATTCATGCCGCAAGTTGAAATATAGGGATTTAAATATTGGTACGTGGAACGTAAGGAGTTTAAACACAGCAGGGGGGCTAAAATCGGTCCCGAATGAGGTAAATGGGTACAATTTGGATGTCGTGGCTCTGCAAGAGGTTCGCTGGCCAGGGGAGGGCTCGATGAGAGAAGGAAAGTACACTATTTGGTACGGAGGAAGCGGGAATCATTGTTTAGGTACCGGGTTTCTAATTAGGAGTAGATTACTATCCGCTTTGAGGGACGTACAATTCTTTAGTGATAGAATTTCGGTAGCTACATTTCAGGTACGTTGGTTTAAAATCGCATTAATAAACATACATTGTCCGACCGAAGACAGTGACGATGAAGTCAAAAGTGAATTTTACGATAAACTCGAATGGGTTTATGATAAACTACCGCGAAACTACATGAAAATAATTGTAGGTGACGCGAACGCAAAGGTAGGAAGGGAAGAAGTTTATATTCAGACGATTGGTAAAGAAAGTTTGCACGAATATAGTAATGATAATGGGATCCGTTTGATAAACTTTGCCATCTCGAAAAACCTGGTAATTAAAAGTACGACGTTTAAACGTAAGGATATTCATAAATATACTTGGACATCGCCGGATTCGCAAACACGAAATCAAATCGATCATGTCTTGATACAACACAGCTGGCAAAGCAGTATAATCAATGTACGGTCTTATCGCGGAGCAGAATGTGGGTCGGATCATGAATTAGTAATCGCGAAACTTCGACAAAAACTTAATATAAAAAAGAGAAAAGAAAACCGTTTCGATTTTGAGAATTTTAATTTGGAAAAATTAAAAAATCCATCAATTAGAAACCAATTCGAGCTAGATGTTAAGAATAGGTTTGAAGCTTTAGAGCTTCCTGACGAGGACCACGAGGATATTGACAAGTTATGGGTAGAGATCAGGGATAATATTAAAGCGGTCGGTAACTCGTGTCTAGGAAAAAAGGAAAATAAGAATAACAAACAATGGTTTGATGAAGATTGCTTAAACATGTGTGAAAAAAGGAAAGCCGCTAAATTAAAAGCTCTAAATAATCCTAGCGAAGACAATCTGGAATACTTCCGAATCTCAAAGAACGAAACGACAAAATTGCTCAAAAATAAAAAAAGGGAGTATCTTAAAAATAAAATAATTGAAATAGAAACTAATAGAATCCAAAATAACGTAAGAGACATGTACAAAGGTATAAACAGATCACGTAAATATGTAGGGCCCGTAACGTCTGGAATTAGGGATGATAATAACAATATTCTGACCGATCCGGTTGACATATTGAATAAGTTTAAGGAGCACTTTGACAATATTTTAAATACGGGAAATTATGATCGGTGTCCTCCTTCTGAGTACCAGAGTGCTGAACCGTTGATAGAAGGACCAAGTAAAGAGGAAGTTGAAGTAGCTATCGGTAAATTAAAATCATATAAAGCAGCGGGAATCGATAATATTCCTACTGAACTAATTAAAGCATGCGGGGAAGCTGGAGTTTCTAAAATACATCGGTTGGTTGAAAAGATCTGGATGAACGAGAAATTACCTGAAGAATGGAAAGAATCTATTCTTATTCCGATTCACAAAAAGGGTCCGAGGACGGATTGTAATAACTATCGAGGAATTTCACTCCTTCCGGTATGTTATAAAATATTCACTGTAATCTTAACCAGTCGAATCACGGAATACGCCGAGGAAATTATCGGAGACTACCAATGCGGATTTAGACGGAATCGTTCGACTATTGATCAAATATTTTCTTTACGGCAAATATTAGAGAAAAAATTGGAGTATAACGGTATTGTTCACCAGCTGTATATAGATTTTAAAAAGGCTTACGATTCTATTGACCGCCAGAAACTGTATAATATTCTAATCGAGCAGGGAATTCCAAAAAAACTAGTAAATCTAGTCAGGATGTGCTTGACGGAGACACTCAATAAAGTCAGAATCGGTAATAATTTGTCCGAAAAATTTGAGGTTCGTTCGGGCTTAAAACAGGGGGATTCTCTTTCGCCTGTCCTGTTCAATTTGGCATTAGAACATGCCATTAGGGAGGTAATGCGTACCGAGAAAGGGTTGGATCTGGGCGGGACAACATCCGTGCTGGGCTATGCTGATGATCTGGTACTGTTAAGCGAAGACGTTGAAACTATAAAACTAAATACGACAACGTTAATGAAAGCCGGTAAAGAACTAGGACTCGAAATAAACGTGGATAAAACAAAATATATGGTTAGCTGCAAAAATGGCGATACTACTGGTGATATCGATATAGATGGTAATATGTTTGAACAGGTAGATAAATTTAGGTATCTAGGTTCTACAATAACTAGAAAAAACGAAATTGAAGAAGAGATTAAGGTTAGACTGAAGGCGGGGAATGCTTGTTATTTTTCTGTAACAAAACTACTTAGTTCGCGCCTCTTGTCCCGAAACTTAAAAATTAGAATCTATAAAACAATTATCTTGCCTACAGTTCTTTATGGATGCGAAACTTGGCCGCTTACATTAAGGGATGAGCAGCGTCTTAAGGTTTTTGAAAATAAAGTATTGCGTAGAATATTCGGACCGAAGAAGGATGAGTTAACCGGAGAGTTCAGACGGTTACACAACGCCGAATTGCGTGAGCTGTATCCGGGTAATATAATTGATGTAATTTCTACTCGGCGAATCAAATGGGCTTGTAAAGTTGTTGGGCTTAGTAACGAGAGAATTCCTAAAAGGTTAATATTTGCTGTGCCGAATGGTAAGCGTCCGAGGGGTAGACCGAAGCGAAGGTGGGAAGATTGCATTAAAGCCGATCTGAAGGGACTGGGTTTGGACGGCGAACGGTGGAGGGAGGTGTGTAACAAGCGATTGGTGGTGTCGGCATCGAACCTTCGGGTTCGCTAAGCCTTATTATTATTATTAATATCAAATAAAGAAAGTTGTAGAAGGTAACGGAGAGTGACAAAAATATATAAATAATAATTTCAGAAAACTAACATTATTTAACATAAATCAGATGTTTCCAAGGAAATTTTCTAACTAAATGTAAACTTTTAAATTTTTTTCTAAGTTTGAGAAAAAAATATTTAAAATCCACCGAATCAAGCCAATTTCATTGTTTAAAATACTATTTCATTTTACTTGTGTAAAAAAAGTAGTGAAATATAACAATATTTCATGGATATGTTAATAACTTTAAATACATTTACTGTAGTTTAATAACTCTAGATATGACATATTTAATTAATTAGGTATCTATTGGCCGTTTATTCCAAAAAATCATTGAGTAATCTTTTAGAAAATTACATTTGTGAACAATTTGATGAATATTCCCTTGGTGAAATCCCAACATTATCCACTTTGTGTGACAAATTTTGAGCTATCCATGGAAGGCATTGACAATTTCCTAATTTCATTTTAGTAAACTTTACTATAGGAAAATAACAGTTTAATAACTAATACTAGTACAATCCATAATCATTTACAGGTTAACTATTCAGATGTACTTTAAAATCTCTCTAGGCATATATGAGCCCTTAGGCTGACAGAATGACTAACTCCAATTTCAACATTGTTTATTATTACTTTTAGTGATGTTTCTAGTTGCAAAATCTATACCTTTATTCACAGTTCTATATTTCAAAACTGCAATCACCTACTCTGGAATCAACTTAATCACTGTCTGTATAGATATAACTTTTCCAACTAGAAATAAACCTAAAATGGCATTACTCAATGTTGAAATCAGGGTTAGTCATTATGTCAACTGAAAGGCTCAGAGACTGAAGTTATGTGGTTTATAAAAGCAGATGGAGTAACTAGGTTTTTATTGCCTACCGTCGATTTATATTATATTTATAATTAAATAGACGTTTTGTAATTTTAATGGTCTTAATGATTTGTTGTTTGTAGCTTTAAGCTATGTATCCGTTTAAAATGCACTTTAAAAATTTTATAATAGCCCAACGTTGCCAGAAAATGATTTCTATTCAAAGTAGAGCGGTAAGTGAAAGTTATATGTCGTGCGCATCAGATTTTTTTCATAATAAATGGTTATGTTTAATAGGTGTACATGCATTGTAATTTTAAAAAGACGACATATTGTGCTTTTTCTTAAGTATTTAGCTTACATCACTCACCGTAACAAATATGAACTAATGAAAAAAAGAAAAAGCATTCACCATAACAAATATGAACAAATTAAAAAAAAAAAATCAATTTGGGGAGGAGAGAAGAAAACCTTCCCGTAGGTCCGCCACGGCAGGTCTATACAGTCATGCATGCACTAACATGTCAGGACCTGTTTACTCAGATTGGAACTTGTTGAGACTCAGATTGGGACATGTTTACTCTTGTCCTTGTAGAATGAAAGGTGGGAGATTGTATCAGCCAATCAGATTCAAGAATTCTCGATGAGTACATGCGTATTTCTCTCATCCGCTATCATTCTGTACTCAGGCGTTAAAGTGGCGACATGAATTTGGTTCTGCTGCAACATGTTATTTTTATTGAGTTCATAGTTTCGCACGAAACGAAAATATTTTGTTCTTCTATACATTGAATTTCATTTATCAACCAGCAGTAAGTTTAATAGTTATTAACTCTTTTTTTTTCAAATCAAAGATTTTTAATCTACCGAAGAGGAAAAAAATCTTTGATATATATATATATATAAATTCAACTACGAAGCTTAATTTCAATTATTTCCTTTTTTCAATTTTTCATGTTAATCCACGAGATTTTTTTTAAAAACATAAAAACTTAGAATTAATAATAAAAATACACTGCATTAATAAAATGAAATATTTTGTGTCTAATATTGAGATGAAAGTTTTGTTTCTTTATGTAGGGTTAAAAAAAGTAATCTGAAGTTTGCAATAAACTTTTAAGCGTAATACAACTTTCTGTTGAATTAGTGTCCAAAATTTCGTTTTACAGAATTGAAATAAATTACATCTGATATTGTACTCTCAAATCTCACTATTTAGACTAAAAAATTTTCCTCTTCTAAGTTTCGGGATTATTATTATTATTTCCTGTATTTATTTCCAATATGTATTGCTTAGGATTACTATTGTCTCTAAAATTTCAAGACTTCTTACTAATCTATTATTTTTTTAAAATTAATTAACAGAACCATGGTTTTTGCTAGGAGGAGCAAGCAATTTTTACCGAAGGCAGTTGAAAAATAACATGTTTGTTTCTCATTCATTTAAAATTTCAAATGAAATTTCCTGGAATAAGAAAAGTGAACAATTTTTTCGAGTCTGTTTTTTTATATTTTAGTTATGATTGCTACTTTCTTGTTTGAAAGATAAATGAATTTTAATTTCAAAGAATTGCTATCTGAAAAGTTTTATCTAATACGTAAACATTTCCTATTATGTATAAGTACCTCTTTGGAGATTTGTTTATTGAGAGGTTATATACAAACTTTATCTTTTGTGGTTATCTGATTAGGCTTGGAAAAGACATCCATAAAAGCGTTGTTATGTAGTATATTTTAATTTTAGTTTATATTTCATTTACTTTGTTTCATTGTTGATTCTGTTATTTTAACGTTACAATGAAAACAGCGCTAATTTATGATGCTCCATCTGTTTGTAAGTTATTAAATGGGATAGTTTGTGTTTATAAATCGGCGGGCGAATCCTTCAACAGAGTCAGACATAGTATTCTTCATAAATTATCTCAAGGTACTTGATTTCTCCTAGAAATGTATTACATTTCACCTTTTGTATATTTAATCTCTGTTTTGTTTTAGAACTTTGTGAATTGGAATGTAGAGTTCCAAAACAACGTATTTCAGTGGAAAGAGATGAGGTTACTAGGATATTGACTGTTAAAAGGTATGAAAATTTGGCAGACAACCCTTTAGTTATGGGACCCATGTATGAACCTAATGATTTCAAATGCTGTAGTGCTGTTAGACTTGGTATAGATACTGCTGGAGTTTTAGGTAAATTTATCTTACATTCTATTATCAGCAGTATTGTAAAACTGTATCGCAGTACTTCCTATTTAAGTTTTATGATCAATAAACATAATATGTCCGTGATATGTTCTATCCTTTGAAGTACTAGTAAAAAGGAAACATATAAAAGACAATGAATTGTTAAACATTTCTTGATTATAAATATAACTGTTATTCTGTTGTTTTACCCAATTGTTATGATTTAGTAACCTTAGGAACTTAAGGGCCGGAGCTTTCATGTCAAGTGCTTATCTAATTGACATGTACACTCAAATTTTTTCACCTATGAATCATGAGTATATCTATTGTTAGATATCGCATGCAAATTTAAAAATAATTTTAAATTTTACAGTTCTCAGTTTAGTATATTATAACAGTGTTCCATATTATAAACTTACTGATTGAATGCCAACTGTGCTAGGAAGGAACAAACAAAATAGTACTAGAATCAAGTTTTACAACAGAGCCTAAAAACCCATGAAATGCCACTGACTGTCCAAGGCAGAGGCAATCTAGTATTAAATAAATTTTGAAATTCAAATTTTCAAGCATGTTACTAGCCTACTACATTAGTTGTAGATGGTAAGATTCGCGGTACTAGTTCACATGAGTTCCTCACGGATTACTCGTGGTTCACAATCACATTGATCAAACTTGTCATGAAATCGCGATAACAGCTGAATGTTGTCGTCTTTTATGACGTTTGCTAATACCCCCACCATACAGTCCCTTTTCATGCATTTTAAAAATAAAAACATATTCCCTTCTTGAAACTTTCTTATTAACAATTTATTAATGAATTATGTATTTACTAATTTGTTGATTCCGAGATAATGAATAATCAAAATCATCAATAAGAAAAATAATATTGTAAAATAGCATTCAGAGATATAATAATTAAAGGTTTTTATCTATTACTGTTTCTTGTCCACAGCTGTATGATATACGTACAAGTTCGATTAAGTTTACATGATGTAGCCTAAATTTGGAATTTGTCGGCTCCTGCTGTATAGCTGAACATGGTTAAGATTATAGAAGTACTTAAATGGTGGCAAAGTTAATAGTAACTGACTCAAGAGATCAGTCACTTTCGTTCTCTTTCGGATAAACGCATTCAGCACTCCCTGAACAAGTGTGACCGAAGTGATTGTGAACCAAATGTAATCCGTGCGGAACTCTTGTGAACTAGTACCAGATTTTCAATGCTGTAGTATAGAAATAAAAAAGAAGGTTCTACTGTATAAGTGTCACTTCACAGTGGTACAAGATTTTATGATCTCATCATAAATGGAATGCAGGGAATGATTGAGTTTCTCAAAAGTTGACAGAAGTTACCAAATCCTCAGGTAAGACCTCGACCTCTACTGAAATGACCTGTTGGTAGTTTGACTATCCCTTTAGAGCGAGCAGGAGTCATAAGCAACAATGTTATTAAAGCTAATTATTTCCAAAATTTACTGAAAATTAAAAGCAGCTGTGAGTTTACCGAAATTGTTAATTGCTATCTAAACAAAGGGAGGTTATACTGTGAAGATACTGTTAATTCTTAGCTAGTCTCAGAATCACTTTTATAGTATGATCATGAGATGTTGGTTCACTCATCAAGTTGGAGTGACACTTGTACTGTAGTACTAGGAAAAGTTCCCACATTAAATTTTGTATGTACCTCAAGACTAGAACTGATGTTTCTACTAACTCTTATAATTAAATCCTCATAATTAATTTCTTTATAATATTGATTGAATTTTTCGTGTGTTGTAACACCACATATTTCAATGCATTTTTACAATAATAACGTTTTCTATTTTCAGTTCTTGGTTTGAATTCAGGAACTAAAGATGTTTATGAACTTCATCGACAGCATCCACTACGTGTTTATCGCATAAGTGGAACTTTTGGGTACATGACAAATAACTTATACAAAACAGGAAAAGTAGTTGATAAATCTTCAGTTAAACATGTTAAAAGAGGAGTATTTGAAAACTTATTAGCCGCGACTGAAGCATCTCACCAACGAACTATGTATGAGTAAGTAGAATATGCTTTCAATGAAGTTATACCTTCTTTTTAATCTAATTTTTTCCAACTTTACTGTAAAAAAAAAAATTTAATTACAACGTTACAGATCAAAGAATGAAAATGTAAAATATTATAAGTTCTCCTTCTTGTTCTCTCTTCCCTCAGTCAAATGAGATACCAGAAATACAAAAGGTGTTTAATCAGCATGCTGAATTTGAATTAGTTGTTCAACAGGAAAAAAATAATTCAAGTGGAATGCCAGTATCTTTGTGTGAAGATATTTTGTTGTACGATTATTTCAGTGCACAACACCATCTTCTTTGACCTTAGTAATTACGACTACTATTCTCCTGATATCAGATAACTAACTAAATGAAGATAATTTATAACTGGTCGATAATATATAAGTTGAGCACAGTATATAGCTTGAAGTAATCCATTGTGGCATTCATGTTTGCCAATTTAAATATTAATTGCATAACTTCATTAAATACTTTATAGATTGGTGGAATGAATGGATTAATCAAAATGTTTGTTGATCTTTGAAAAAAATAAAACCTTGAAATAACTTGCTTTTGATTGGTCTTATATTATATTTGTTGAAATCAAAGTGTTTTTTTTTTTCATTTTAGATTGTGTGGAGTCGACCCTCAGAGCCAAGCTGCTTACGAACTCGCAGCCAAAGGTCTTATTCGTCCAGCGAATACAAAAATACCTGTGATATATGCAGTTAAGTTTATCAGCTTTGAACTTCCTAATTTCACAATAGGTTTGTATATAGTTCATGTATTATCAACTCAATAGTATTATGTGTAAGGATGATAATGATTTTTTAAATTTTAGAAGTTCATTGTATAAATGAATATGAAGCATATCTCAAAGCCTTAGTACATAGTATCGGTACCAGGCTTCAGTCTTATGCTACTTGCACTGGCCTCCAGTGTATCAGACACTCATATTTTTCACTTGAGCATGCACTTCTAAAGAAGCATTGGAATCTTGAAGAAGTAATTAGAAATATTCAAAATAATAAAAAATTGATGGAAAAGAATGTAAGTTTAGAGAGTGGTCTTCTTCAATCGCTGCCTTAGTAAGTATCTAAAAATTATTAAAATTCTTGTCTGAAGTTTTAAATAATGTCTGTATTACCAATTATGAACTATGAAAAGTTTTGGGTAATTCTCAAACTAAAAGTAACTTTTAGGTTATTATTTCACAAAAATTTATTTTTCCTTAGTAATGGAAAAAAAAAAAAAAAAATCGTATAGATATTTTCTAGTTAATTATTCTCTGCATTAAAACACAGACTCCATTTTGACCACAAAACGGAGAACAGGTTTATACCAATGAAGCTTTTTTTATATTAACTAAACATTAGTGTACCCATTCAAATTGAACATACAAGTGATTATAATTGTTTTATAATATTTAAATTTGAAATATTTCAATTTCAAAGTATATTTTCTTGATAGTAAACTGATTTAACCTTGAAGACACTGTAGATGTGATATATATTTAAATTAGTATTATTTCCAATTAACAACAAGTCAAGGGACCGATCGGTTGTATTTTTGTTGATGAGATTACAGAGCTGAATATTGGTATCTTATTATTGTTTAAATTTCACTTCTTTGTTATCCACTTCAGTTTTTATTCTTTATTGTTAACATCATGTGCCTTTGTAAAAACTCTACAAAGCTTAGCTTTTGGAAGCTGAATGTATCTGTTAAAATTGTTCTAATATTGGAATTTTCCACATTTCTCCGGAAATTTAATTTAACATTCCATATTTCTTAATTTATTTTTATTTTATATCTAATGGGAGTGTGGTAGCTCAGTGGTAGGGTGCTGAGCTTCCAACGCTCAAGTTTCCTGGTTCGAATCCTGGCTTATAGCAGATAAATTATTTATTCTGTTTCATCAGCTATAGATCGACGGTGGGGTCAAGAGACCTTCCTTGGACAATATCAGCCTCTATAAAGTGGGTACTCTTAATTAAATAGTTGATTAAGGAACCAAACCTGAAGGTTGAGCGTGATCTCGGTCAAATCACCTCCTTGCACAACCCAATCGTTGACAAAAAACAGTATTACTTTCCTTAATTAGTACTGAACCCTCAAGACTCTTCATGGGTTGTAGGGATACTGTTTTTTTTTTGTTTTTTTCTATTTAATTTTACTTTTATTTCAAAAAATGACAAAATATCTGCATTTTTTTTTTCATTATCTTGTAGAAAAATAAATTTCTTCCCAATAAGCTTAATCCCAGATGGTATTGCTTGGTGTGTAAGAAGGCTATGGTATTATTTTCTGTGCATTCATAAGAAGACTCATCTCCAGAACAAGAAACACAACCCAAACCATTAGGAAGCCACTTCTGTGTTTTACTGTTGATTGCAACCATTCATTCGAAAATTCCACTTTAAATCTTCTCTAATATACTGCCTCCTTCCAGAACAAACATTTCAAATTTTGACTCGTATCTCTTTAAAAATTTGTTCCATTCTTCTTCAGTCCAACTTTTGTGTTCTTTGGCAAACTTAGATTGCATTCTCTGGTTAAGAGACCAAAAAAAAATAGTTTTCTTCTGGAAGCAAAACCTTTAAGACCTAATGATTTATCTTGGTTTACAGTAGCATAGGCTATTTCTTGATCTCTGCTAGGTTTTTAGCGGTTGTACCAATACAAATAATTTTAATTGTTGTTCATCAGCAGGATTATGTATTTTAGATCTCTCTGAATGTTTTAAGTATCCATTTTGCTTGTTTTTATAAAGGAAAAAAAAAAAAAAATGATGGCATATTGATTTCCAAAAATAGAACCTCCAACTTCTTTTTGATTTTCTCTTATTGAAAGTTCTTGTTGATGCAAAATTATAATTTTATGTTGGTCAAAAATGTGAAAAGTAACTGTTAAATGTTAAATTGAATTTCTTAAAAAAAAAAAAGGCGGAAGATACCAATATCAGAACAATGTTCACAGATACACTTAGTTTCCTAGGGTTTAAACTACGGCTCTTGATGTTAACAATGAAGAATAGATAAAGACTGAAGAATATATCAAAGTAATGAAATTTAAACAAGGTAACAATATTCAGACCCTGGAAATAACGTCAACACAATGGATTTGTTCCTTTGCTTGTTGTTGATTGAAAATTATGCTAATTTAAGTATATATTACATCTACAATGTCTGCTAGGTTAATAACAGTTTACAATTAAGAAGATAAAAACAAATTTTAAATTTAATGATTTGTCATTTTTTATAAAAAATAAACAGATCCCATGGTCCAATTCATTGAAATATTTAGGCTTTGAACTTAATAAAGTCTCTAAATTTCACCTAGCATGTAAACAACAAATGCAATACAAAAAAAAAGATTATTAGCAAAATGCCCTCATATTTCAATAGATACTCCCAATTATCCTAAAAAAATAAATTGATTTTATATAAAGCAGTTATTCGCCTTCTAATCACATATTCTTCCCCAGTATGGAGTTATACTTGTAAGTCTAACCATAGAAAACTAGAAGTGATTCAAAACGTATGCATGAGAATCATAAACAAATATCCACGATATACAAAAATAGCCACTATGATTACAGAATTGCAGCTTCCACCAATAAAATAATACATTTATCTTAAAACACAGAGATTCTTTGAGCTTACAACATCTGATATTCCTAAGATCCAAACAATAGGAAATCATTACATGAAATCACTGAAACGGACAAAAAAAAAAAATCACATACTCCTGACATGACAAAACCCAACTTCATAACATTAAAAATATTGATAAGCAAGCAATTATTGTTGTATAATTAAGTGGTATAAACTATCACACCAATTATTGAATAATAATTTACAAGATATAAAACATGTTTTTTTATTTATTAAACGCCTCTGTCGTTGGCTATTAGGCCATTCAGCTTCTGGCAGCCCAATACAACTCCGCCATGAATCCTTTGTTTAAATATGTTCCAATCGCATCAGAAGTACTTTTTTTTTTTTTTTCTGTCCTCCCCTTCCTCGCCTTTAAGGCTATACGGGGGTTTTCCCGGGCCAGGGAGTGTGGGCAAGGATTTTAAAAACTCCTCCGGGCACCGGGACGCGAACTCGTGACTATTTTTGTAATCAAATCTCATGTATCAGGTTGCCAGGCAACAACGGTGAAGTGCACACGCGTTAGCCATTCGGCCACCCCGCCCACTGCGCATCATAAGTACTGCTGACATCTGAGAGAGCGGGGCAAACTGAGAGGTGCAGGTCGTACATCTCGTCCTGTTGGCAAATAGGGCACGCAGGACTTCCCCACCACTCCAATCCTATGTAAATGCCTTTGCAGGTAATCATGCCCTGTTGCCATGCGGAAATTTGCCACCGATTCTTTCCTATTTCTGGTTTGTTTTATCGGCTCTTCTGTTAAACATTCCCATTTTTTCCCTGCTGACTGTCGCTTTTGCCAACAGTTGTTCTCTTCCTTGTAAAATTTTAAAATCCTTTTAACAGATTCGTAGGGCATATAGATATATAACATGTGACTGTGTGCTTAGTTTTATCTTGTTTATACATTTAATGTATAGTCATATCATATAGTTTTTATGATATTTATTCATTTTTACAAATTATGTAGGATTTTTTTTTTTATTAGCCTACTTAATAATGTAAAACGTATTCTAACCAGAGTGGGATAGTCGAGTTCCATTCTGTGGACATCACAAAATAAAAGTCAACTCTTCCCAGACCGGATTTGAACTGGTGTCGCTAGGCATGAGAATACTACAACGGGTAATGCTCTAACACTCAGCCATCACAACCCCTTTTTTTCACATCACTGCATGTAACAGAATTGTTGATATAGACATGCCTTTAGTATGGGAAATCCTGTGGGCGGGGTGGCCGAATGGGCTAACGCGTGTGCACTGCACCGCCGTTGCCCGGCAACCTGATAAACGAATCAAAGATATAAAAATAGACATGAGTTCACGTCCCAGTGCCAGGGGAGTCTTTTAAATCCCTGTTCACACCCTCTGGCCTGGGAAAATCCCGTATAGCCTTAACGGCGAGGAAGGGAAGGACCAAAAAAAGAAAAAAAGTATGAGAAATCCTTAATAGTGGCAACTGTTAACAAAATGTTGAACTCCTCCTTTGCATAATGATTTTGCTCTAATTATTCATAAAATATTACAGATTTCATGAATTATAATAAGTTTTTATTTTAGGGACCAAGAATCAGAACTCAGCTTAAGGCAAGTTAAGTATAGAATAGAAAAAAATACTGAGTTCTAACACTAGTAGAACCATGTGAAATACTCCATGAGTCGTCAAAGGTATGTTTAGAACATTGTGAATTGTGTAAAATATTTTGTAAATAATAAATTATGTGTATTATAGTATATTATATGTTTTGTTTCTGTGTACTCCATTGCAAATTCTATCTTTTTTAATTCAACGCTATTAATATTAGTCTGCAGATATTATTCTTCAGTTTAATCACTATGCACTATCATGTTTTAAAAATCTCTATGTATCCGCTTTTTTAAAATTATTTAATTTTCTATGTCAAAAGAAAGAAGTACACTGAGGCTATGTGGATCCAAAATCAGCTTTTGATGGATTTATTAATTATTTATTCCGAATAAATAAATACAAATAATAAAAAAGAATCTGGAGAACATAAGGTTTGTGAATCCAACCTTATTTATTGATGCAATTACTCACTAAGTGCACATTTCTGATTTCACAGAGAGAAGATTTATCTAAGTACTTAATGATTTAGTTTAATGAAATGTTACTTAATGGCTTTTTACAATAAACAGCACAATATATGGTACTACATTGGATGTTTTTCTATTTTGGATCATATATATATATATATATATATATATATATATATATATATATATATATATATATATATATATATATATATATATAGAAATAATTGGAGTTAGGGTATTAAAAAATAAGTAAAAAAGTATATTTCTTCTATATACTGCACTCCCAAGCCAATTGTAACTTTTTATATTTCAAATGAATTGGAAAGGGTTACATCTGAATTGGAAAAGGTTACAATTGTCTTGAAAAAGCTAAGCCAATGTAAAAAGAAAAAAAAAATTGAAAAATGAATAGTATATTAAATGCCATGGAAGAGGTCGTGATGGCTGAAAATGTTGGAGCGTTGCCAGTTTGTAGCACTCTCGTATCTAGAGAAGCCGCCCTGGGAAAAGTTAAATTTTATTTTGTGGCGGACCCACGGAATGGAACTCGACCTTCCCAATCTAGTTAGAATAGGTTTGGTTGTACCTCTAGAACAATCCCCTCCCTCCGCCGTATACCAGGAATGGTGGGTATTAGGTGATTTAATAAAAAAAAAAATTGGAAGATTTTATATAGAAACTTGGCAATGCTTTCAAAGATCTAAAGATTCTGAAATAACCGTCTACTCTTTTAAAATACCATCAGATACAGTTAAAGAATTGAAGAAAATGATGGAGATCAATGGTCTTAGAAATAGAAGTAAATGAGAACAGAACTGTGTAATTTAATAAAACAGTTTTTTACACAATAGGAAACTTAAATCATGTAGATTGGGACAAAAATAAAAAATAAACAAAAGAAATATTCTTCTACACTAAATATTTCATGTAAAATCTGTAGTTAAATTTAAAATTAAATAAAAAAATAAAATAAAAGATACTTATGCTTTGATTTTTTAATTTGTTTCAATTCCAAAATTTTATGCATATGACAGTATGCATAATATTATAGTATATCAAATAGTATGCATTTGATCTTATTTTGATGAAGTGTCTAAAGTACGTTATCGTGAATAGTCTTCAAGGAATCCTGCTAATGGCTTGTGAGTGTATATATTTGAAAGGAAAAGCCATTTTTGATTTATTAATAATTATTCACAAATAAATATTTGTGTTATTAAATTTTCTTAATTCAAAGCAATCACATTTGAATACTATACATTTAAATTAATTTTATATAAACAGAATTAATCCTGATTAAATTTATTTATTTATTATCTTGTTTTTTCAACATTTTAATGTATTTAAGTGATAGAAATTTTATGGTTAGTTCGTTTTGGTGCATTGTTGGTTGAGTGTCAATTAGGTTAGTTTTTGTACCTTAAGCCTTAGTTTAAGTCCACATTCTGACTACTATATGGAAATTTATATAAATAACAAACATGACCTCTAGTTTAAATGTTTTTGTTTTTTTCGGAGAAAAAAAAACTTAGCACTAAAGGTTCGATAGGTCTTTTCTTATTATTAGCGATTACAATTTTTGAACTTGCTGGTTTTTAAAATAAAAGGATATTTTATAAATATATTTATTAGAATCTTGGCTATAATAAAAATTTAAATCAGTGTATGATTTTAAAAAATTTTCAAATAAAAAATTTTACTCTTCAATCTTTATGAAAACTAACTAGTTGATCACAAATAGTTTTAAAAGAATTTCTATGTATATTTTTTGTTACGATTCTTAAACATGAACTGATATCTTTTAATTCTAAATTTGACTTTTTCTGGATGTATACATTTATATATTTGACAGTCTTTATTAATAAAATCAGTAAATTTCAGTAAAAAAATAGTTCTTTCAATATCAACTTAGTAATGAAGTAGAGAAAGAGCCATACAAGAATATAACTAAAAAAATATTAAACAGTATTATCACTTTAGTAACATTACATATTCACAGAAAATTATAATGTGTATTGCTTCGATGAAGTCCCAGCTGTAAGGAATGTTTTTTCAAATGTGCAGGGTGGATCTGAAAAAAAAATTTAAATGCTTGATGTTGAATACTATTATATTAATTAATTATGAAAACAATGTGCATTAGTTATTTATTTACTAATAGTTTTCTTGGTTTACCTATTATTAGGTAGTCGCTGGTTGAACTCATGTGACACTCATGACTTAATTGTGTAGAAACTAACATTAGTTTTTTTGCAGAATATGTAAAAATTTGTGTGTAAATTAGAAGATTATATCATCTTCCAATATATGTTTATATTTTGTTAGTAGTATCCAGAGTTAGGGAAAAAAACAACATGCGGTTTTCAACTTCTAGCCACATGAGTTTTTCCTCAGGCTGTCAACTAATTGTGGACAAACTATCGCAATTCAATTGTTATTTTAAATTAATATTTTTCTTATTTTTACTAGTAACTATAAAAGGAAATAAATTCCTTTCTAATACAATATCAAGTGGAATAAATTTCTAATAGATTTATTTGTATTGCATCACTAGTTAAACATAAAAATTCAGTGTTAAACATATAAATACAAAAGGTTCAAGGTAGTTAATTTAAAAAAAATAGGTCATATGGCATGTAACCCCCAAAATTGTACAAGTTGTTTGATCTCTTTGGTACTGAAAAACTTCAAATATTAATCCTTTCACACTTCATGAGGTAGATCGTAAGTAATTACGTAGGGCAGTTGGCTGTTGTCAAAGATTAGAATTACACTGTAGTTAGTGAATCACAACTATTTTACTGACCAATAAATTGTTAAATTAGCTTATATTATAATTAAAATCAGACATATGATCTTAGTAATATTATAATGTATGAAACATGTCATAAGCGAAATATTTATGAATGACTATACATACTTAAATTATCCTAAATATTTAATTTAATTTTTTTTTAAGTAGAATTACATAATTTTTATAACCTTTCCGTGGGATAAATTGCTCCGATTGGGACAAGTTACTATATTACATAAATATTTTCAAATGTTTTGTACTCCTCTAAGTAATAGTTTTTGGTACTGAGTACTCATCTGAATACTATTATCCACCCTGAGAGCCGGATAGAATTACTTTTAGAGTTCCATTTCTCTCTTCCTTTTTTTTTTCCTTCCCCTTCCTCGCATTATTTTTCCCCTTTCCTTTTAGATTGTAATTATTTTTTCCAAGGAGGTGAGGTCAGGGAAATTATGGCAGTTAAAAGTCCTCTGGGGTCGGGGATTTGAGCTGCTGATCTTCCCATTATGAGGTTGTCAGCAACAGGTATTAGGCTGTTCTACCACTCCTCTCACTATATAATAAAGTACTTTAAGAATTACAATAAGTTGTATACTTCAACGGGATAAACAATTTTAGCAGTTTTAATCAGAAATTTCAAAATATTCCTCAATTAGTTATTCTATCATTAAATCAATCTGAAAAAGTGCCTCAAGAAGGCCGCCATTTTGGATTCAGACAACTTCAAGATGGCTGACATAATTTAATCTATAAGTTGGATACAGAGGGGAGGGGGCTTTCAGCTTTTGTGCTGAAGCTCCCTGCCCCAAAATGGTAAAATATAACCATGTTTTACAGAGAAAAACTATCTCTTAAAGTATTCTTGTTCCTGTAACTTCATTTAATAGGACTTCATGAACCACTTGAACACCATTTCATATAGGTAGTTAATTCCTTTCTTTTTTTTACAAATAAAGACTTCAGGGGCTGAAGTCCCCCAAAACTAAATCCTGGATCCCCTGATGGTTGGATAGAATATACATGGGTTTCATGGCTAAAATTGTGCCATCAAAATTTGTGAGGGTACTCATTTTGATGAGGATATGAATTCGGAATGGAAAGTTTTAAAGAAAAGGACAAGGTGAAAGCATGGAACAGAAGCATTTTTTTTTTTTTTTTTGAGTGAATGGGACAAACAACCAAAAAGAGTTTTTTAAGGTACAAAACAGCTTTTAAAAAACAGATGTATAAGTATATATATTTATAGAAACTATTGGACGAGTTTCTAAACCATAATAAATCACTAATAAGGAGAAATAAAATGTTTATAGGATTCAATATATCTCTCTCAATTAAAACTTGAATGAAAAGAAATATGAGTAACAAATAAATCTTAATGAATGACTATACTATATATCTGGCATATACTTATACAAATATAATTTTACATTGCTATGTTAAATTGTGGTAGGACATAGTTGTTGGTTGTAACTTATACCTCCTACAATATAAAAATTTTCATTCCAACTGCACCAGGTCCTCAGCATTTGAAAACAAAACCTCTTTGGAAATATTTATTAAACTTAGCTGAAAGACGCCATGTTAATGTCAAATTGTAACCTCCCTGAGACCCATATAAACAAACAGTGCAGCATTGGAGAAGTTTTGGTCTACCTCATGCATTGTGTACCAATATTGACGATTTTCAACTTCTCATATAGTTAATTACTCAGTAGAAATGATGAAAAAAATATTGGCTCACTTAATGAACCCTTGTTTGTTAAATTATTTATAATTTTCCAGTTTGTTTCATTATTTCATGTGCTGTTTGTTATTTATTTGATGATAAGACTATCTTTACTATGTCCATTACTTGAATAAAAAATATCAATGTAAGTAGATTTCATATTTCGAACTTTTGAAATTGAATGTTACAAATTATTTCAGTTAATTAATCTGTATATTTTGATTTTTATGGTCATGAAATATTTGTGTTCTGCATTACGTTAATTTATTTATCACATTCATGAATTTTGATCTTCAAATCTATCATTTAATCCTGTTATTGAAGATGTCCATTTTACTTTGAATTATTGCACCCCTTTATAGCAAAAGGTCATTGAGTAACATTTCCGAAAATTGAAGCACCCAGCACTTTGAGGTATTTTCTCTCTCAAATCAGAACATTTTGCACTTAGTGTAACTATATAGAATATAGTTGCACTAATTATATTATAAAAGTGTGCCATTTTGATAAACTTGCTGTGTTTTTGTATTGATAAATATGGTTGACGGCAAAAGTGTACTTATTACCATTTTGTTTCATATAATTTTGTTTATGTTGATAATTTTATATCACCACTCAACTAATGGTAACCTGCCAATAATTTATTTGTACCCTTTTTTTTTCTTCTCATATAGTTTCTATTTCTCCTTTCATAGGACATTTGATTCTTAAATGATTTTATAATTTAGGTGTGGCAAAAGCTATGTGAAAACTGAAATAGGATGATGTGTAACTCATGTTTTTTTATTAGCTTTCAATTTAAGCATATTGGTCCCATTCTTCCGAGAATTTGTAACTGGAACAACATTAACACTTTTTATTGACTCTTGGTAAAGATTCTGATGATGATTTTTTTATAATGGTAGTGTTTTTATGGTCAGAAATCACCTTTGCTTGACTGATGTTTCTAGCTGCCATAAGCCTCTAGTTCATTTCCTGTTGCACAATGTTGAGTCACTTGGTAGTCTAGATGTGCAAATGTAATCACTTTCTTAAAAGTGAGCTAGTCAACATTTATGTTAAGCGACTGCTGGTCCTTGCCCATTCATTGGATCTCCTTAATGACCGGCAAATTTCCTCTTGGAAGGCCTTTTTTTAAATTCATATTATATCTCAACATTTTTATTTGTTGTTAAATATCTGCAATAATTAACTATTTATCAAAGCTACCTGGAATTAGTATTAGTATTAATATTTTACTATTAAAACTTTCACATACAATTTTTTGAATAGTTGGAAAATTTATTTTTATTTTACACCTATCTGTTATATCTATTTCAAATTTTCATTTATGTTATCCTTAGTATTAAATCATGCATCAATATGAATCCATCAAAATTATTTAATGCACATTAGGCCTTAATTGTACTTACTGAAGTCAAACCATTCATCTTTAAGTCCAGCGTTCTTTCTTGCTGATTTAACAGCTTGTCTCAAGGCATTGATGAGTGTGAGGGACATACAAAGTGGAGGTTCGCCAGTAGCTGAAAATATTAAATTATATATACTAAAGAATTTTCACCATTAATGAAATTAATAGACTACTGAATTATAATCAATGCAATGTATTTATCTGTCATGTAAGTAATTTTTGAAGAGTATAAATTATAAATGAGTAACCTTATAAAACAACAGAACCTCAACTATCCAGGTATTTGATTAACCTAGGATTTATCTCTTATTTATTTTTTAAAACTTTATTTATGAGTTTTATTCAATATTCAGCAATGTACTTGAATATTATAATAAAATTTAATTGTACCTACAGGATGAAGGAAAACGTCATCATTATTTTTGAGAATTAATGATTAAGAAATTTTGAAACTAAAATTTTAACATAGTTCTGGAAATAGAGAAATGCACTTATTCATTGTGTCATCCTTCCCTGCCTTGAGTTTCAACAACAAAAACATATTTAACGTTTATGTATACATGCCACTGTTGCCAATCATCTTTTAAAAGACATTCCTCGTTTCCTAAGTGGCTTCTGTTTTCTTCTGCCTATCCCCTCTATCCAGTGTCCTTCCAGGAGTGGCCCTTGTTCTAAAATTAAAACTATCATTTTCCATCTGTACACAAACAGTTTGTAGTGTGATGTTCTTGATCAATAACTGAGGGACATCGTTTTCTGAGAGGTCATGGAGGCTGGTTTCTCTTAAAAGTTTATTCCTTTGTGTTTCGAAGGTGGTGCAGTTTATAATGAAGTGCTCAGCAGACTCCATGACACCAAAAGTAGGGGATCAATATAATTTCCAAACTTATCATCATTTTAAGCCGACAGTTCCCATACTCTGTGAGGAACTGCGGATACCTGGTAATCCAGGAGGATCAATGTCACTCCTAAACATGACTGGACAGTAGGAAAGTACTTCCTTAAGGTAGGCAATCTCTTTTGGAATTGTCACCTACTGCCGCTTCCACTGTTCTGTTGTATCCTCCTGGTTAATGTTTTCTGATTTTCTGGGATCCTCATTAATTCTTACCTGAAAACTCATTGGTAGACCTGCTGAGTCTTCTTGCAGAAGCAGGTCGAGAAGTACTGCTCCTGCTAAAACCTGCACTACTTGATGAGACACGCCCTAGTAAGCTGTTGGTATCTACAACAGAGGCTTTGTTTGGATTGTTGCCAACCTGCTCCTGAAGTGTTGTGAGAGATTCTGGTACTATGCAAAAGACATATATTTCAGTATACCCGAAAACCACACTTCTGTATATATTCAAAGTAGCGGCGGTATCGTAGGTCCTAGACCACCTCACTTTGACATTTTCTTATGACATGATTACTGAGAGTTATTGAATCTGATTTGTCATTTCTCTCACACCATTATCCTACCAGGTTGGCACACCATTGTACCTCTTTTATTTCAAATTTTAGATGTTACACAGAATCTGTTAAAATGGAACTTTTTAAAAAAGTTTCAACTCCTGCTTTCTTCCTTTGTTCAGGAGTTTTAGATCAGCGATCTTCCATATTCTCAAAAAGTATCCCTTATCAAGGCAATAATTGAAGATCTTCTTTCTTCAACTAAAGGGATATTGTATTTCAATATTGTCTCATCTATAGCATTGAGCCCTGGAGTACGCTCAAAAAATCTGCTTGACCAAGTCAGTACTCACTCTTATATTTTTAGAATTTATGCTTTCTCTAATCTTCTGAACTTTCTCCTATTTCTTAGTTCTCATACAGTATGGTCCTACTAAGAATTATTGAAGGAAGTTAGTCGACTGTTCTACTTATCATGGGCGATAAGAGTGATACTACCTATATGAGTTACAATATAGAGAGATGGACTAAAGGAATGAGAATTGATTGAGGGAAGTGTGTGGTTCTATGGTGGACCAATTTTCTTCAATTATTTGGAGAACACGATATATCCGTACTGTTTTAAAAGGGCCGTGTTTAACTTGTATATATATATATATATATATATATAATATTATTTTATATTGGCCATTTCAATTGTTTTGTTTAATTTCTTATTAGTATTGTATATAGCTCGTAAGTATTTTGTGAATAGTTTCATTATTTGATTTTGGATATATTATTAGTATACTTAAGTTTTATTATGTATCTATTATTTAATGTAATAGTTCTGGCCAGAAGTAATTCTTTTTTTTTTTTGTATCAATGTGTTATTCTTAACACTCCATAGGTCGCTACAGATCTGTGAGATGCACTTCATTAAATCAATTTATTGATCAAAAATACCATCAAATTTCTAATTGTACTGAAAGAAAAATATATAAGATGAGTTTTACATATATTTGTTGAGTAAAACACAGTTGTATAATTTTAAATAAATATCAAAAATCAAAACAAAAAATACATTGAGAAAGTTAGCAACTTGAACATTAAATTCTGTATACCATTAAATACAAACACAAAAATCACTGAATACTATAAACAATTATAATAAGATTAAATTGGATACAGAAATAATTAATACAACCATCATCACAACATGAACATCTGTGTCTAAAGACCTCCAATTTCTCATTGATAGTCACGTTTGTTCCAACATAATAATAAGATTAGTAGTTTCTGACAAACTTCAAATATGTCCCGGACAGGTGCCAGTCGGTCTATTTCTTTACGTTGTTGACTTGTTTCTCAGTCTTCAAATCTTAGGAATCAAAGTAAGGATCGAAACCTTCCTACACTCTTTGTGAGATGGAACATTTAGATTTCAAACTTTGAATCAATTGTGGTACTTGAGTCTCACAAATCATTCAGATTTTTTTCCGCGGCTTAATGCATTTCTGCAATAATATAACAGGAGAATACATAAGGGGTCATGAAGGTCCTCTCCCCTCAAATGGTATAAAAATACATCAAATAGACCGTTTGACGCATTTCACAGATCCTTGGTGCGACCTTCGAAGTGTTAAGAATAAAGTTATTTTTCTATTTCTATATCAGAAAAAACACACACAAACGCATGCTCTCGGATGCACACTTATATATTTCCAGAATGTCAGTAGTCCTCCTTAGATTTGGTTCATGGACTGTCTGTTTCAGAAAAAGAAATATAGGTGCTCATGTGCCTGTTGACTCTGAGCAGCCATAACTGCTGGATCTAGTCCAATATGTCATTGTCCTTGAACCCGACTGAGTCAGTGTGAAGGACACTGGCAGATTGGTCACAAAGGGATCAGCTATGGAGGTGGCCTGCTACTGCACCATGGAGAGCATGGTCCGTAGCAACAAGAGGTTGGGTGACTCCCTCCAGGCTATCTGTGCTCCCGCAAGCAATATGCGTATGTAAATGTCTAAATCTTGCAGCCAAATATCTACATTGTCTATAGCACCAACCGAAAAAAAAAATGTTTATATATATATATAAGAGTAGTTAAGTATAAACAGCTGAAATACAAAACTATTAGGGATTTCGGATATCAAATAATAAATTTTATTAACAATTAGGGGGCAAATGGATAGGGCAATGGGAGAGCTGGAGAGGGAGACGAGTGCGGGAGTCTCCTCCCCTCTTTGTGAGTTAACCAAGCTAAAGTGCCCTACTCACTGCTTGGAACATTCCTGCTCTCCTTATCCCTATCAACGCCTACTGTCACCTCCCCGTGGTGCCCCCTGGGGAGTCGATAAGACTCGCGAACGACAGAGGCGGAGGTTACCAGCACAGGACAGATTTCTGTTCTGTGTTGGCAATCTTGCAGACACCCAAGCTAGGTGGAGGGTGCTCGAGCTGAGGCTGAATGGCAGAGGGTGTATAAAAATATACTGTCTTATATCGACCCACTTGGGGAACCAGGCGCACCCCATTGTATCAAATGCCCGCTGCAGGGAGAGGGGGTAGTACCTGCAATGTAATAAACCCCCATACTCGTGGGAACCAAAATGTCCTTAATTAAACCTAGTAAATTAAATATTGCTAAGGGAAATTCATTTCCTTTGGAATCAGATGCTCTTACAGAGCACAAAGAAGAGACTTCTAAGAATTCATCAACATTTCAAGAAGTGAAGAAGACAGAAGAACAAGTAAACCAAGAAGAAAAAGTAAATCAGAAAGAAGAAATTAACAAGATGGAAGAAGTAAATAAAAAAAAAGAAATTAACAAGATAGAAGAAGTAAATCAGAAAAAAGAAATAAATACGGTCAAAGAAAAAGATCAGAAAGATGAAGTAAGGAAGATAAAAGAAGTAGACCAAAAAGAAAAAGTAAACCAGGAAGAACAAAACCAAAGTTCTTTCTGGTCTACTTCTTCTCCCACTTTTTCTTCTCTAACCAAGATGAAAGGAGTAGACCAGAAAGAAGAAGTAAACTGTCCCTCAGTGCAGCTAAATATTTCTAATGACAAGGAATGGAGGGACACTTCAGTTCCACAGCCTCAGCCTATTAAGCATCAGCCTAAGCTACCAAAGAGAAGGCACAAGAACTATTTAAGAGTTCAGTCAGTACCAGAGGGAATGATATATCAAACTGTTACAACTCTTGCTGTTTTAGGATTGAAAGATGCTGAGCCCGGCCAAAGAGCGAATTTAGCTGCTTCATTACCCTGTGCATCAGCCCCTTGTGAAAATAAACCTGGAAATAGTGAACCAGATCGTCTATATCCCACTTCTTATAATCTTAAAGCTGGAAGTGCTAATATTAGAACAATGCCTATGAATCATCCTGCAGCTCGTTTTACTCCTAGGTCGGGAGAACCCAGTCACAGAGCAGATTTAGTGCCTTCATCGCCTAATTTATCAGCCTATTGTACAAAAAGACCTGAAAATCATGAGCTGGATCACCCATTTTCTTCTTCTAATCCGAATGCTGGAAGTTGCAAGATTACAATAATGCCTGAGGATTATCCAACAACTCTTTTGACTTGTGGGCAAGGAGAAGACATCAGGGACCAACTAACCTTTCAGTTAGATCAATTAAATGCCAATGAGGGAACACTCCCAGAATTCAGTGGTTTTGGCTTTAAATCAGGGGCCTGTGTCCTCACTTGTGAAAGTCAGGCCTCCAAGGAATGGTTGGCTAAATGTGTTGAGAACCTTTCTATTGGTGGTGATATTAAGCTCAGGCTTGGTAGCTTACAGGAAATCTATACAAATGTCAAAGTAGGAATCTACTTCCCAGGCAGTAGGGTGCCAGATGATCTGCTTATTAAGAGAATTATCAGTCAAAATCCTAAGGTTACAGAAATATCGAAATGGAAAATGATAGGTGGTAGAGAGGATGGGCAAGGCTATTTTGGTGTCCTTAGAATTCCTGCAACCAGCTTTGAATATTTAGAGAAGGGACAGAACTTGCAAGTGAATTATGGTATGGGCAAAGTTAAGGTTAGATACTTAGAAACAAAGGGTGGTAACTATTCTGCTAAGAAAAAAGGCAAATACAAAGAACATCGTAGAAACAGAGGAAGAAGGCGTGGAAGAGGAAGAGCCTCTTGGGCTCCTGATTCGAACAGAATGTATACAGAAACTCAATCTAGCAATGTATCAAGTGATGTTAATACATTTCCTGAATCATCTGAAGAATTTGAAGCAGAAAATTATGATCGGCCTGCCAGTAGTCGACCAGAAGAAGGTACGGAATCAGACGATTATGGTGGTCCATCTAATATTAGATCTGTAAGGCAGTCATGGAAATCAGACAGTTTTGGTGGAGCTACTAGTACTACACCTGGAAGTGGGCCTGATACTACTAGACATGAAAGACCAACTACATGGAAATCAGATAGTTATTGTAGGACTGCTAATGATAGACCTGAAAGTATGACTGCATTAGAGTCAGACCGTTATGGTGGACCTGTTAGTTCTAGGCCAGAACGAGGATCTACATGGAAACCAGACAATTATGGTAAATCTGGAAGTGAGACCGCATTAGAGTCAGAATACTATAGAGGAGCTGCTAGTGCTAGAGCTGAAAGCGGGACAACATGGAAATCAGATAATTATGCTGGACCTCCTACTACTAGACCTGAAAAAGGAGCTACATGGAAGTCAGAAAATTATGGTGTGCCTGCTAGTATTCGACCTGGAAGTGATTCTTTAATGGATTCAGACAATTATGGTGGGTCTATTGGTATTAGGCAAGAAAGAGGAGCTACATGGCAGTCAGACAACTACAGTGGATCTATTGGTTCGAGACCTGAAAGTGGGGCTACATGGAAATCAGATAGTTATAGTGGACCTCCTCCTACTAGACCTGAAAAAGGAGCCACATGGGGACCGGACAATTATGGTGGACCTTCTACAACTAGAACTGCAAGGGAGTCTTTATTGAATTCAGAAAATTATGGTGGGCCTGTTGGTGGTAGACAAGAAACAAGACATGCATGGAAGTCAGACAATTACAGTAGACCTGTTGGTACAAAACCTGAAAGTAGTGCTACATGGAAATTAGATGATTATAGTAGACCTCCTCCTACTAGACCTGAAAAGAAGGCCACATGGGAGTCGGACAATTATGGTGTGCGTGCTAATACTAGAGGTGGATATAAGGCAGCACTGGATTCAGACGATAATGGTGGGCTCATTGGTATTAGACAAGAAAGGGGAGCTACATGGCAGTCAGACAATTACAGTGGAGCTGCTTGTACTAGACCTCTAAGTGCCGCTGCATGGAAGCCAGATAATTATAGTGGACCATCTAGTTCAAGCCCTGAAAGATCCACTACATTGAAATCAGACTCTTATGGTGGACCACCTAATATTAGACGTGGAAGTGGGAATGCATTAGAGTCAGATAGTTACGGTGGGCCAGGCAGTGTTAGACCTGAAAGAGGAGCTACATGGAAGTCAGACCATTACAGTGGACCTGCTAGTACTAGACCTGAAGGAGGAGGGGCCATATGGAAATCAGATAATTATGGTGGACCTCGTAGTACTACACCTGATAGTGGGGCTACATGGAAGTCGAACAATTATGGCAGACCTTCTAGTACTAGACCTGAAAGCGGAGCTGCATGGAAGCCGGACAATTATGGTGGACCAGCTAGTACAAGACCTGAAGGAGGGGCTACATGGAAATCAGATAATTATCGTGGACCTTCTAGTACAAGACCTGAAAGTGGAGCTACCTGGAAGTCGGACAATTATGGTGGACCTTCTAGTACTAGACCTGAAAGCGGGGCTGCGTGGAAGTCAGACAATTATGGTGGATCTGCTAGTACTAGCGAGCGGGAAGATCAGAAATCGTGGACTCTAGTACAGACTGAAAGTGGAGCTACTGGAAGCCGGATAATTTTGGTGGATCTGCTAGTACTAGACATGAAAGCGGTGCTAAATGGAAGCCAGATAATTTTGGTGGACCTGCTAGTATTAGACCTGGAAGTGAGGCTACATGGAAATCCGATAATTATAGGGAACCTGCTATTAGTAGACCTGTAAGCGGGGCTCCTTGGAAACCAGACAATTATGGTGGACCTTCTACTACTAGTAGACCTGAAAGCGAGACTACACGGAAATCTGACAAGTATGGTGGACCTGCTAGCTCTAGACCAGAAAGCGGTGCTGCTTGGATGTCGGACAATTATGGTAGACCTGCTAGTAGTAGACCTGGAAGTGGGTCTATGTGGAAAATGGAGAATTTCGGTCGGCCTGTTAATACTAAATCTGTAAGTGGAACTTCATTGGAGTCCCACAATTATGGTGGGACTGCTAATATCGGACCTGAAAGAGGGACTACATGGAAGTCAGACAATTATGGTGGTCCAGCTAGAACATTATCTGTTTCTGCAGATGCATGGGGTTCATCCAATTACGATAAGCCTGTGAATAAAAGGCTTGAAAGACCTACTGGATGGGAATCAGGTGAACATGATAGTCTTCCTACAAAAAAGCCCAAATTAAGTACTGAATGGGTATCAAATAGACCTGAAACAACCAGATGGGAGTCAACACATCAGGATGTATCTGCTTGGACTAGACGTGAAGGAACAGGTGGATTAGGGTCTCGTGATGATAATAGAACTGCTAAGGCAAGACCTGAAACAAGTGGGTGGGGATCTAGCAATCAGGATGAACCAGCTTGGACTAGACGTTAGCAGGTGGATGGAAGTTATAACTTATCAAGCCTTCATGGGAAAGACCTTGAAAAAGTTTAGTGTCAGTGAATCGACATATAATCTATCAATGTCAAACCAGAAGAAATATCAGGAACTATGAAAGTCTGCAAGTTGTGTGGGCCTTCTAGGACATGACCTGAATGAACCATCATTACAACTTCAGAAGATTAAGTAATAAATTATTACATTTATGTTCTGATACACAGTATGGTTTTAGATTTTTTTTTTTATGTAAAAATATTTAATTGTACATAATTTCTGTTTGGAAGATATAAATGCTATTCCAATTTAATTTAATTTTATCATTATCTCTTTGAAAGATGGTATTCGATAATTTACCTTTTGAACGTAATGTTCCAAGTGGATTGGTTGCATTCTTTTTTATTGTAACTCTGAAGTCAATTGGTATGTCTTTTGGTCCTGGCGGCCAATAATTCTGAAAAAAAATTTTAACTGTCAGTAAGGTACAATGTATGATTTGCTGGTGATTTAGACCGCATGCTTTTTATATTATATGGATCTAAAATAATATTTGTAATCCTTTCTATTATATCCTAGTTTATATATTTCTGTTTTGTGTTTGTGTAACAGATTTCTTTGTAAAAATATTGACTGGATATTTTTAATAACTATTTGATTATACAAATAATTATTTCAATTTAATTATGCAAATTGTATATTGTTTTGAATAATTTTGTATACCTCAAAAAACAAATAATTGTTTCATCAAAGAAAAATAAAAAACAATCTTGCAACTTTTTAGATTTAAAACTTATAGATTTGTATGTCTGTCAGCATTACATGCTCATTGTGTTAAAAAAAAAATTTTATTTAAATTGAAAGAAATTTTCTTTTTTTTTTTTGTAAAGCTAGTAGAATAATTATGAAGAAAAATAGAAGTTGTTATGAAAAAAAATATAGCTGTTTCGTTTTAATTTAATGTTTTATTTTTGTTTCAATAAACTCATTTACCCAAGTTCTAGTTGTTAATAAGGCTCCATCCCTATCATCGTACACAATCCTCTCACTTGACAAGTACCCTAGTCCCATTATAAAAGCTCCTTCAATTTGTCCCAGGTCCATTAAAGGGTTCAAGCTTTCTCCTGCATCTTCTACAATATCAGCTCTTACTATCTGAAAAAGTATTAAGTTCTTTTAACAATACAATATTGTATTAAAATTAAAAGTTGAAGTATTAGTAGGCTTTGGGCATTAATAGTTTTAAATGCAATGCTTTTAATTACACTCAATTTTCTTAACTGTTTATTTGGGTTCAACATCCTTATGTGCTCCAACTAGAACAGAAAGGATAGGATAGGTTACATCTTACTAACCTTTTCTAACCAGGGTGAGGAGGTCGAAATTGATTCTATAGGCTTATCATGAAATAATTTCAACCTTATCAGACTAGATTCGAATCCAGCACTGCTTCCAACTCAAGGTAGCTAAAGTGAAGCTTCACAATTTTTTATATCCAGCCTCTCAATTTTCTTGTTTATATTAAACAATATTTCAAGTATTAGAAGTACTTTAAATATTTTGCAATTTTAAATATATTATAAACAAAATGCTACAACACAATACTCATTTATTTTTCAGAAGGAATTAACTACTAATAATAAAAGAGCTGTTTATGAAGGATAAGATCAAAGTATATTGTTGTTGCTGAAGTTTATTTATAATTAATATATTATACAAGATATTGTAATAAGTCACTAAATACATTTAAGAACATTGTTGTGAATTTTAGCCTTATTTATCAATAAAGAAACACTAAGTGAACCAAAAAGGCAAATCTTTTTATATATCAAATATACTTACATTGGATACATAATGTTTGGATTTAACTAACCGAAAATTCATCAAAGTTCGTATTGATTCAAGGTTATGAAATGTAACTAAATAATTTTTTGCAACAAGCTGACAATATGTTTAAATATATTAAACATATAATACCTGATACTGTCCAGTCAAAATGTCCACTTCTACTTCAAGAGCTGTTGCTCCGTATACTGAGTATGGTTTTGGAACTGGATCTTGCATGTTATACCTGTTTATATTAAAAATTAAACATGGAATAATTGATATAATTTATTTTAATGGTAATCAAAGGTAGACCACTAACATTTTATTTTGAGGAACATGGGTAAGATAATAAAATATGTAGAAGAATGTTTTATTGGTAATGTGGGTTTGATTTTCACCAATACCAGTTTTATCTTATAAAGAATGTTTTAGACAGATCTTGATAAAACTATTTCGTGATTGAAAAATGGTAGTTGGCTACCCATGTAGAAGTAATATTGAAATATATGCTATCGCCATGAGGAAAGGGATGAAAATTTAATATATTATAAACATAAGCACAGGCTTAAAGGGACGGGGGATCACCCCAATCACGAAAGAGAGGGGATAGAATATCATTTTGGCCCCCCAATAATTTTGTGTACAAAAATTATAAAATATTAAAAAAGAATAACTCGCTGAGAAGGTTATGGTATTGAATTATGTCAGTATATTACCTTAAAAGTTTATATTTAAATTTTCATTCATATTCAAAGATAATATATAGCAACAGTGTTAATAATCCAGTGTTGCTTATAAGAGAATTTCCAAGTTTCTCGTATATTATCTTATTCTTCAACTAATTTTATGATTATTTTAGTTAGAATTCGTATTGATATTTATTTTAATTTTAAAATAATAACCAATTTTTCCTTCAGTCATATTTTGGACATTTTGGTACTCGCTTCTAAACATGCATAATTAAATGAAAAAAAGTATTTTAAATTATTAGTAGTATTTACTATATACTGACAATATATTCCATTGTTAAAAAAAAAATTTTTTATATTAACTCTCTCCAACTTACGATGTTCTATCTGTAACTTGAAATATATATTGGTTAAATAAAAATTTTTATATTAACTCCCTCCAACTTACGATGTTCTATCTGTAACTTGAAATATATATTGGTTAAAATTTAAAATAATTATTTTAATTCCCTGATAATTATTTTAATCTAGTGTACTTGATATTACATCACTCTTACATATAAGATGCATGTAAGTCAACTCCTACGAGGTTGGCCCTTTTTATTATATCCATCCATGAAGGATTGACCAGTTTATCTCTGATTGGTTTCAATCTTCTATTAAGTTCCTCACAGCATTTCAATGTTGCCTGTAAAAAAATTATTTCTGAGAACATTTCAGTAATTAGTGAGTTAATAATTATAAGTATTCAATACAAAAACAAAAACAATAGGATAGAAAAAGAAAGTTGTAACTTTATTAGTTTATTGGCATTACTTTTTTACCAAGCATAGGTAAGAACACTGATATTTATTAACTTGCAAGGATAATGGTTTTAAGTTTTTTAAATATCAGTATAAATCTTTTCATTTGTTATTGAGATATTGTTGGTCTATGATACCTCTGTTTAAATATATAATTTTTTTTTCTAACTAGCAAAATTTTCCAAAATCTTACAACTTTTATAAAAACTAAGATATTATAGGAATAAAATAATTTTTGTATTATAATTACCATGTAAATAATATGGAGTGGTTTCGAAATGTACATTGATTTATTAAGGCCTTTTTTTTTTTTAAGTATCATCATAAGATAGTCAATAAAATCAATTTTTTTTTATCTATAAAAGTATCGTTAATACTTACATATGTTATGGTATCAGTTCCTATACTAGCTGCTGTAGGCTTGTCATTTGGAGAAATGACATTGTAACAGGGTTTAATTTTGATCATGTTCATATCAATTCCTAATGCGTATGCACAAACTTGAACCACCTTAAACAATGAAAAAAAAATTATCAATAAAAAATACTTTACCAACTTTAGTGTTTAATCTAACATAGTCGTAAACCAACGATTTCCTGTCCTACAGTTTCCTTTAACAATACTCCACTTATCCCTGTTGAGCAAATCCGATTCCTAGGACTCCACCTGGACAAACGACTAACTTGGAATCCTCGTACTAGACTGAAACGACAAGAAACCGCTCGACGTTTCCGATTACTTCAGCACTTTCTAGACAAACGCTCTAAACTTCCCATTAATTACAAAAGACTCATATACTTGACTATAATAAGACCTATTTGGACTTACGGAGTTGAGCTATGGGGCTCCACTAAACCATCGAATTCCTCTCGCATCCAATCCTTACAATCCAAAATCCTTCGTAAAATCCTCAATGCTCCTTACTTTGTCACTAATAAAATTATCCATAAAGATCTTAATGTTCCTTATGTTTCAGATCTGGCCCAATCCAGATACCTATCCTTCCATAATAAACTTCAGAATCATCCCAACCCTCTCGTTTCTAACCTTGCTTCCTCTTCAATACCTGATAACCCTCCGAGGCGTCTGAAAAGAAGATGGCCCCGTGATCTCCTAATGTAGTCATATCATTAGAGTGCTACCATTGGGTAGTTACTCAGCAAGTGTATTCATGTCATTATATCAATTATGTCCAAATTTACTTGATGTATTTATGTAATACAGTTGTAAATGTCATAAAGAAATAAATAAAAAAAAAAAAATCTAACATGTATAGAAATAATGTTACTGAACCTTGCCCAGTTGTCATGGCTACTCAACTGTTTCTGGGAAGTGTTAGTGGCTCACTCAATGTAGTTATGATCTCCAGAGGTTTTGAGGATTTTTCCTTGATAAAGAAGTATGGTCACCAGGAAAAAGATATGCCCAGTCTTCTGTCTCTTTCAGTATTTTGATATTTTTTATTTATTTATTTACATCCCTGCCGTGCCTGATAGGCAATACGGGTTTTAGCAGCAGTGAGAAGTATTTTAATATTACCACGTAATAGAAAAGGAGCACTCAATAAAGCAATTGAGCAATAAAGGCTCAATTCCCACAAAAAATCTTAACATTCCCATTCTTGTCAGTTTGGAGGTAACTTAAAGATATCCATTAGGGATTGCAAAAAGTACCATGGGATCCACTTACCAGACTATTTTTCCCGACAAAGTTGCACCATATAACTCATTACCCTGGTAATGGTGGCGTGTGATTTCATTTTACATTATCTGGGATCTTTTCAGTTCTGGAAACAGCAGCCATAAGATTTCCTTCTCTTAACAGCACTCTAATCAGCTTTATCGCTGTTATTATTATTATTATTATTATTGGAATATTTATTTATTCCATTACGGTTCTTTATTTAATAGACATAATTGGCTAAACATAATTTAATTGTTGTTGAGATATCTGGTTATTTATTAATGAGGCATTGAAAACCAGAGTAGTCCAACATCAGCAACTATAATCTTGAAGGAAAATTGTATTCAAACTGCTTTAGACCATTTTTTAAAGTGTATTCTTACATGTCTGGCATTTTTGGTTCAGTAAGGGACAGATTTTAAAAATTTATCAGTTCTATTACCAAATTATGTTTTGGGGAAAAATGTGGCTTGTCCCCACTTCAGTCCTCAATGTTTCAAATAACAAAATAGTGTCAGTATCAGATTTATTTTTTCTTTCCAATAATCATGTCTATGGCTTGGTTCTTGAAGGTCTAATGTCGTCACTGATAGTGTTTTCTGTTTCATTTCTAAAGGAGCTAAAGTTGACATTCTTGAAATAACAACTGGTCCTTTTTGAACCAAGTTGCAGAAACGTTGTAACTTTAATACACATAGTAACTATTACATGATTTTCATTAAATACAATAACTTAATGATTGTTATTTGAAAATTAATTTAAAGCTCAGGCTCGATATCATCAAGTAACTAATTTTGTTTCTATTAAATTTTGCTTATCAAAACTTAATGTGAAAAAAAGTTATTCAAACATGTATATATTGGGTTGACAAACAAGTTTTTTTTCGGTTTTCCAGGATGAAATAAAACTCAATGTATTATAGACATTAAAATTTATTTTAATCTACAATATATTGACCATTATTTAATATCACTTTTTCTCATCTTTGCACTAACTGCATAATGCCATGTTCAAAGAATGTCTGGAGTTTATTGTTAAAAAACTGATCCAATTGGTATTTGATGTCCTCTTCCTTTTGGAATTTCTTTCTATTCATGGAGTTGTGCAGAGACTGGAATAAGTGGTAGTCACTTGGAGCTAGATCTGGTGAATAGGGAGTGTGAGGCAAAAGGTCCCACCAAGGCTCAATAATTTCTTGCGAGTGACCAATGAGGTGTGAGACCTAGCGTTGTCTTGGTGGAACACAACACCCTTCTGATCATTTATAACTCCTCAGGATGTTCTTCAAATTTGATGTTACTATATCTGTTGGAAAGCTGAATTATTGCTCTTCAAAGCCGTATGAATGGTTTTTTGATTTAATGTCTACATAAGGAATAAATAAACAAAAACTCTTTATAGGTTTTTATTTTTTATCTCCATTTGTAGTTGGTTTACAAAGGTCCTGTTGATGTCATTTTATGTAGTTTATGAGACCCCTAGTTCCTGCTAAATTTCTTGTAGATAGCTAAAGTCGTATTGATGTTATAACATTTTTTGTGATTTTCAAAAAAAAAATCATGTGAGGGACATAGAACACTAAGCCTGGAAACATAACCAAGCTTGTGAAAATGATTTTCTACGCTTGTGTGCAAATTTAGGGCCATAGCAATCTCTTGCACTGATTGGGTTGGATTTTGATCAACAATGGCCTAAACATTGCTCGTTTTAATTTCATGTGAGCGACCAGACCGTTGAGCATCATTGATGTCAAAATTTCCTGAATGAAATTTGGCAAACCAATTTTGACATGTGCGTCTGGTTAAGGCATCATCCCTATAAACACTGCAAATTTTCCCATGACTTGCAGCATGCCTACCTTTTTTAAAATAATACAACAAAATATGCCGATAATGAATGATATTTTCTTCCATATTCACAGTGTAATAGCAAACACAATACTAAGCTAGTTTCAACAAGAGTTAACAGATATAGTTGTTGACATATTACAAACAGGATAAACAATCTACCTTAGGAATTAATTCATCAGATAAGAAGTGTATCCTAGTAACATAAAAATAAACAGAAAAACCAAAAGGCCTTATTTGCCAACCCAATATATATACTAATATTTATAATTTCATTAATTACCTTTGTGTTTATTCCCTGACCTATCTCAATTCCACCTGATGAGATAGCTACTGTTCCATCATCAGCAAAAATAGATACAGCTGAGTGGAATACAGGATAAAATATTACATCAAATTTCATTGGCATTACAGAAATACCTCTCTTTCTCCATCTATTACTCTGGAAAGAAAAAGTAACATAGATATGTTTTAAAAAGTAGAGGGTATTATATGTAAATTTAAAAAAAAAATATCAATTGACTGAATTGTTTTTATTAAGTAGATTCCTATTTTAACTCGTCATTCCCATAAATTAAGAGTTGATTAAAAATTTGTTTCACCTAGTTTCGTGAATATTTAAACTATGAATTAACTATTAACTTGTTAAAGATTTAATTGATTTGTTGGTTAAAATAAATTTTAACTTTTTTTTTCTATCGACTTCAATAAAACTTTTTAGGAATAATTTGTAAAACTCGATGAAATTTAGAAGATTACAAGGTACTCGACTCATGGTAAATTATATATACTTGTGCAGGTTGATGCCTACTATTTTTTTTTATTTTATTTATGAGTTTATGCTAAAATGGTTTAAAGTTTAATGAAATAGTACAATACATGCTCAATGTGTAATGTGTAAGTTTTATGTGAATGATACCTATAGTCGAATAAATGAAAAATTATCGCCTACCATATTATATTGGTTCACTGCAGAAAGTCTCTTTTCATAATCTGAGCTTACTAGAACTTCCTGTAAAGTTTCATTGATCATAGCAGAAGAGCTTTCAGCGAAATTTATCCTCCTTACGCTGAGCGGGTCCTTCTTACAAACAGTTGCGATGTGTTCCATAATGTGTTCAATTGCAGCCATTCCTTCTAATGTACCTACAAAATCAACATTGTGAAAGCTTAAATTATCTTTATTAAACATTTTATTAACTATTCTTTTATATATAAATTTAAAAAAAAAGATTCCTACAGCATACAAAATATGAATAATTATACCTGGCGCTCTGGTCCATGTTGTTGACGGTATGTCTGTTTTAACTAAATAGAAATTCAATGTCCAGCTTGAGAAATCGTAACAGTTTTTGATACCATCTGTTGTAAATATTAGAACATTATCACTAAAAGTACAGCCCATATCTTCATAAAGATCTGCGTTTAAGTACTGAATTTGACCATTGTCATCCACTCCTACCTAAAATTTATTGCTAGTAAAAATATTTATTTTCTTCAATTTTTAATTAGCATAGAATGCAAATTTCAAAATCCCTACACTCAATACCTCCTTAACTTCTACTTTTTTTTTTACCAACTTAAGCTTTGTTTTGAATTAAGATGGCTTCATGGAGATAATATGGTATTTTTTGTCTATTCTTTTTATTGGATGAGAGGAGAGAGTAGGGCATTAAGGTCAGAGTTTAAAGCTCTCCGGTACCAGGTTTTGAACTAGTAATCTTTGGCTTATCAGGTTGCCAGGCAACGCATATTGAGAGTATGTCTTCATATCTATGCTTTATTTTGAATTTCCTACTGCTTTCTAAAAGTAAAGGGAGCAAGACAATGCTTAATTTGTTTGCTTTAAATGATTTGTAATCTTGGAATTACCTATAAAATATAAGCATACAAATAACAGATGTTTTAAATCAATAGCAAATTAATTAAAACAATGATTTATAAGCTTAATAAAACTGAACATTTTAACTTGAAGTAATGATATGAATTTGTTAGTTGGTCCGTAGCCTAAAAAGTTTGGAGATTCCTGTGATTGCCAATGAACATATTTGATCAGATTAGTTATTTTTTTCCTGAGGAATAAGTTGCTCATGAATAAAAGTATATTTTTAATATCCTATCAAAATAATGATTCTCCTGTGCCATTGTTCTATTTTAATTTACTTCTCATTAGATTCTTAAAACAAGAAATAAACTATTGAGGCTATAAAATAACTATAAAAAAATTTCACATTTGCAATATTTTTGCTTACTATATAAATATATAGGTAAGTGAAAGTAAAAATGTAGTATTTTCTTAGTTTGAATGAACACAAAATATGCTTTTGTGCGTTAATGAGATAAAGTTTGATCTTATATTACCTCATATTTTAAAAGGAACATGCAGCGCTTTCCTAAAGATCTTGTATTTGTTTGAAGATCTACTACTGTTCTCACTGGTTTCTGTAATTTATGCGCTGCTAATGAGCATGCACAAGCTACCAATGTACTGTTAGTTATTTTAGCTCCATATGCACCACCAACTCTCTTCACTTTCACATTTATACTAAAACAATAATTTTTTATTGCATTATGATTTAAATAAGTTTTAAATCAACATTATCACTAGTGAGCATTTACCTGTTCATCTGTATACCTAATGATTTGGCCACAGCTGCCTGTACATTATGCATCCACTGCGATGATGGGTATAAATCGAGTCCCTCTTCTTTAGGAATGCATACACAGGTTTGTAATTCCAATGTGTAGTGGTACTGAGATCCCATTTCAAACTCTCCAATTATTTTGTGAGTAATGTTTCCTACATATTCAGTCACTCATTAGATATTATTAAAAAAATTGTTAATTACTAAATTGTGATAGTGCAATATTTTGTTTTTTCTTCAGCACTTCATTACTACACAAATGATAAGAAGGCGAAGCATCAATAGGATAAATTTTCTCAATCCTTTGGAACTTCAAAAATAAATATTTGATTTTTCAAGAATATTTCATCTGCAAGAGTATTACAATTTAAAATTTGCAAATTTTGTCTCTCCTATTTAAATGTGTAGGATAATTTGTCCTGACTATTGACATTACTGGGATATTTGGTTCCAATTATATGAATTGTTTAAAAAGCTCCTCAAATTATTATTTAATTTTTAATATTAGTTTAAAAATTAAACTAATATTAAGTAAGTTGCATGGTTTTTTCTTAATTTTTTTTTTTCAAATTTGTATCAATATTCAGGAGTTGTATTCATAAATATTTCTCATAAATTGTTATTTATTAACAAAAATATAATTGCGTGTGTATTAACAAATTTATCTAGTCACTCTCTAAAAACTAAACTAGTTTTTTTTTAGAAACTAAACTTTTTGATTTTGATCTAAGAAAACAATAAGTAAATAATAAATGATACAATAATAATCAATCGGTCGAGTAATAAATATTTTTAAATGATCTTGTGCAATAAACATTGAATTTTTTTTCTCTTTCTATTACCCTTTTTGGCTACTGGATCAACATGTCCACGGAGTTGAACTCTTGATGAATCTCCACTCTCTAGAACTTCTTTTATGGTTAGTAGTGGTTTAACTACGGCTGAGTAGTGTACTCTTACAAACCTAGCTGCTTTATTGGCTAGATGCTGTGTTTTTGCAACAATTATACCCAATGGCTGCCCAGCATACTTCACGTTTTCACTACAAAATAGCTAAAAAATTCAGTTATTCAAATATTGGTGTTACGAATCCAACATATCAATCTGGTTCTTTTTTTACTTGTCACACAAAACATCTCTACTGCCTAAATACTGGATGATATTGGTATTTGAACAGTCAAGATTTAATTATTATAACAAAGTAAGGTTAGATATATAAATGGTAGAGAGTAATAAATTAAATCAATATTAATCCAAACATTTAAAATAAGTTTCCAAATAATTAGTACAAATACTTACTTCTTGATCTTCTAAAGTTATAATGTTGTCTATAATCAAATATGAGTTGATTCCTGGAATATCTTTTGCTGAGAAGAATGCTACTACCCCAGGCACGCTCTAAAATATTTGCATATTATTTTAAGTTAAAGCTAAGTTAATAAATCTATATATTTATGTGTCTCATGAGAAGAAGTTGATAACATTTATAAGAAAAGTAAGTTAAATCTACTACTGGATTACAAAAGTTGGCTTTTATACCTTTTATTAATTGATAAGTAAGATTGAATGTGATAGCTAGATTTCATATTGTAAAATTACAAAGACTCTTCAAATAACAGATTATTGGAGAAAAATCAAACTGAATTTTCCATTAAAAGATTGGAAATTTTGATAACCCTTATTTATTGGTACTATTTATTTAATAAATTTATTTTGATAGAATTTGAAGAACCAATTATATACGAATGGCAAGAACAAACATTTAAAAGACAAAATAAATTGTTATGAAAACAGTTTTTATCAAGCAATAATTATTAATAGATAATAATCAAAATTTTTTTTTTTTCATTTTAAAATAAATGTAAAGCAATTTTATTGAAATGAAACATCTAAGATGACATTGGAGTTTTAAGAAGAATTAGTGGATAATTTTAGTGAAATGTATTTACATTTATTTTAGTCTACTAAATTTTCTTTGTAATTACAATTTTTAAAAAAATAATTGTTTACTTATACACCAAAGATGGAGTAGGGCAATTTAGAAGTGATTGTTTCCCAACCATATGGAATTCTCGGGAAACATAAGGTTTAATACTCCAGCTTATATTAATTTTATTAAATCTTGATGTTGAAAATTATGTTGTTGTTTTTTTTTCCTTATATCCTTATTTTATACCTTATAATACTTACTGTAGCTAGAGAGGCGTCCACAGAGATAATTTTAGCTCTCGCCCTATCTGTTATAACAAGCGCTCCATATAATTGACCCGGAAGCTCTGGCATGTCATCGACGTACTCAGCTTCACCTTCACAAAATAAATATTATAAAAGTATGAAAAATAATTTAACAAATGTTCCTTGACATCTGTTTGTTGACTAAAATAGAAGGAACAAACCTGAACACTGTATCAAACCCTCATATTTCAGTTTAGGAAGATGGACTGGAGGCTCAGAGCTGGTTGTTGGATATTCTTGTTTACCCGACGATAGAGGTCTAATTAAATTTGGTCCCCCCGACCTGTATTCCTTTGCTGCATGAGTACCATTCACTCCAAGAATGAACTATAGTCAAATACATATTTTGAGTAAATTTGAAATTTAATGAATCCAAAGTCAGTCAGTTATATAAGTAAAATAAATGATAGTTTGGTGTAAGGTTACTACAACCATAAACTTGTAACTTATCTGTATGACATGTTGTAATGTATATAAAAAAAATAAAATAAAAATAAATAAATAAATTAATTAAAAAAAAAAAAGATGGTTTTACATGATAAATCACAATTTAACAAAGTTAAGCAGTACAGTTAAAACTATATTTTACAATTATTACATACAGTTGACTGATACGTATCCATCACTCTATTTTTAAGTTTAAACCATTAATACAATACCCTAAATATAATTATAAATATAATCAGTTTAATTACTGTAGTTTAATGCAATTTATATAGTGAAGAGAATTAAACCAAATTAACAATAAGCAAAATTATGAATAAAAAAAATCAGTAATTTTTTATAAATAACTTTTAAAAATTTATTTCAGTATTTAAATTTTAAGGCTTCACCTTGTAGAATAGAGCAATAGCTAGTTTTTTCCTGTATGTAGCTGAAGCTTCTTCTGCAGATTCCTCCTCAGGCTGAATTTCATTAGCTAAACAGAACTTGGCAGTGTTTAGTACTGCAGAGTTGAGGAGCGATTTTCCAGCAAGTATTGCCTCTGTGTGGTAGGCGTGGGTCTGAAAAAATGACAAAAAAAAAAAAAGAACCATTTGAATTATGGTTACAAATGAATAAAGAAAATATAGGGGAGCTTTACTTATTGGAAAATCACATAAACTTCAGGAAGTTTGTTATCTGAGCATTGGAATGGATATTTTATGATCTCGAATTAAACTATTTAAAAAAATAGTTTTTTATTATAGTTAAATTTAATCTTTTAAAAAGGTGTGGAATAACTTAATTAATATTTTTTTGATGTATGAAAAAACGAAAAGATATAATAATTCTGAGGGTAATGAAAATTTATAATGATGAAATAATAGTTACTTGATTTTCTGGAATAAAATAAATTAAAATTATTATATATTTAAAAATTCAAATAATTTATATAGTTAAACTATATAATTATGCTTAAATGGTGGTTATACAATTAGGTCTATCCTATTTGATTGTATTTATTATATATTCATCAAATTAAACTTACAAAACTGGGTGAAATATGACCGAAGACTATTCTTGGTTGCTCCTCAACAATGCAATGATTAGATTGCTGAAATCTAAATAAAAAGCCAGCATTCACGTAAGCATGGGCATTCTGTCTTCTAGGCATTATCTGAAAATTACAATTATTAATGCATTTAATCAATTAATATCATTAACTTTCAGTTCGGGTTCACCTAATTTGTGAGATGAAATACCTAGTTTTTTGGGGGTATGGTTTGCCAAAAATGAGTTGCGTTTTATTTTTAATACAACCCATTTAAAAAAAAAAAAAAATTGTCTACGCTACTTTTTATAGAATTTTGTAAAAAAGTTGTTTTAAAACCAATATATAACCATTTTTAAATTATGAGTTCAGTTTGTTAATGTTTTTTTAAGTATATAAAAAATTGTAATGTTTAATCTCACAAATATGTTGCATCTGCCTGAGGGTTAAATACATATAATATCTCTATTTTATTCTTTAGTTATATGATGAAACCATTAAGCAAACCGATTCATATTGGAAAAAAATATACCTTAATTTATTTGGATAATAGTTTCTAATATTATCAATTGGAAAAAAAATACATTATTAATAATTAAGTGATTAGGAGATGACACTGTTGTCGTTTTACCCAAAGAAAGGATTTCAGTAATATATCAAATATATATCAGTAAAATATCCAACAGCAGGATATTGGAAATATATGTGGGATGCTTGGAACATCAGGCAGAGAAGGAGTATCAAAGAAATAATGTGGAAAAAATTGCATAAGCTTGAAAAGAAAACTCAGTTATATTCCAAGACAGAGGAATCTTTTTTTTTTATATATATATATTTACAGATCTTACTTTAAATGACCTGAAGTAATAATGGTTACTGCTGAGTGCTGGAAGAATAACATTAATAATTAACTTTTTGTGCATATCAGTGTCTAGAAATTCAATAAGTGACATGGTAATTTCAATTCCAGTTTCGTCCCCTAAAAAAACAAAAAAAGAATATATATAACTAAATAGCTTCTAATTGTTAAGTTAATATAGCTCTAATTTATTGTTTACAACACAGAGGAAGTATATATATATATATATATATATATATATATATATATATATATGAAAAATCTAATTGCCCACCATTGTAACAGATTGAGAGTATAACTACCAATCCTCTATAATGATAAATAATAACTGAAATTTACTTATTGTTATTCTTGCTCCACTTGTTTCCATGATTAGAAATATGTCGGAAGGAAATTCTCTATGCTGGTGCTTGATCATTAAATTTCCAGCTAGTGTGCCAACCTGAAACACAAAATTAAAATAATTTTGTAGTTGTAAAATATAACAAAATAAAATTATACATAGGCCATATATTAGAAGGCCCCAACTTGTCTTTTCCATTCTATTCCTGTTTCTCATTTAGCAAGACCATCAGCTTGTTGTTAGGGCATAATTGGTTCCAGGATTTAGTATTTTAATTCAATTACTGCAATTGGAGGAACAACAATTTCAGTTGTTAAGTTTAGTGACCGCCAGCCAGTTAAGGCATTATGTAAAATGGACTGATAAGGAGTTAAATTTGTATCCTGTGATTATTAAAATCCATACTTGAACAAGTTCAACAAAAACATTGGTTAAATGACTACCCTTAAATATATGAGCAGATTGGGGAAGGGGGGGGGGCTGAATGATCTCTTCTCCCTCTAAAAAAGGTCTCAGAGTTTATATTCTGTATGAAAATTATAACTGGTAATTAAAATAATTATTATAAAACGAACAATACAATTGTATATATATATATATATATATATATATATATATATATATATATATATATATATATATATATATATAAATTTATATAGTAGGTTTATTTTTTCTTACATTTGAATGAAAATATGTTAACAAAGCAATAGAATATAATACATATTTTTATTTTCACTTACCTATATATATAATATATAGTATGGGAAAGTATAGCAATCGTGATAATTTTCGAAACTGCGTTTTCAACGAAATACACCTTTTGAGATTCCCTGAGTGCAAATATCCCAAACTGGTCTCTGTGTGTGTGATGAGCCTATCTCAAAAACAAAAAGTCGGACGAAACTGCTATTACGTATTTAAGATAGGTATGTGCTGGGATGTTACTGTAACTGTTTCCTTATAATCGGCTTACAGAAAGTGCCTCTTTATATCATCGATTTTACACATTTTTACGATTTTCTCAAAAAATTCTCTACGATTTTGATTAAACTCGGTGTATCAATGTACAATTAAATGGTCTTTAATATCATCTTGGTCTCATCTTCGTTGATGTCGCTTAACGGGGCTTAAATGCTGAATCTTCATTCACTGTTTTTTATATGTCTAACGACTTCGGCATAGAAGAAAAATAATGCCGATTCTTCAAAATTTCTTTCCCTTAAGTACCTTTAATCTGGTTTATTTTAAGTAACTGTCTCTCCTTATTAGTAGTAATAACAAAAGGCAAAAGAATATGATAATTGATTAAAGAAGATACATGGTCTACCTAAAATTTAGGTCATAATCAGATGGTATACGTATAATATATCGTTGGAAACCTGAGAATTTCAAACAATATCTAACTTGGAAGGTGAAGAAAAAATTATAAATAATAATCCCTGAAAACTAATATTATTTACGGAAACCACATGTATCCAAGAAAATGAAATGAAGTTTCTCAACTAAATGTAGACTTTTAAAATTATTTTAAGTTTAATAAAAAAGAATATAAGTTCCATTGAATCGAGGCAATGACGTTTAAAAAAACGATTTCATTGTACTTGTGTGAAAGAAAAAGTAAAATATAAAACCATTTCATGGATGTGTAAAACATATATAACCTTAAATACATTTAGTGTGCAAGGAGGTGATTTGACCGAGACCACGCTCAACTGCCAGGTTTTCTCTTAATTATTTTAAATAAGGGTACCAACTTTTTAGAGGCTGGGTGTGCCCCAGGTTCGTCCCACGGTCAATGGGAGAATAAATAATTTTCCTGCTCTGAGTCGAGATTCGAACTTGAGGCCTCTATCATTGGAAGCTCAGTACCCTACCACAGAGTTACCCCATTCCCTAGAAAACCATCATAACATTTTAGAAAATTAAATTACTGAATAATTTTATGTATTTTTCCTCTATGGAATAACAATAATATGCACTTACAATTAGTGTGACGTCTTTTGACCTTTCGGTAGGCAATGAAAATTTAGTTACTTCATTTTGACAAACTTTACTATGGAGCAATTAGAGTTTAATAGTAGTACAATTAATAATTATTTATAGCGTTATGTAGTTTGCAAAAACAGATGGAGCTACCTTTCTATCATCTTTTGCCTAACATTTTTAAAGTTTAAGATTTAATTTTTTTTTTATTCAAAAGAAAAATAATTATTAAAATAATATAATTTGATTTGGCATATAACATATTGGAATCGATATATACTCACATTCCTTACAGGAACATTTGCCACAAGATCTATATGGGTCGCCAGATTTTTTGTATACCCATAAAACAGGGGATTCTGAGAGGACAGCCTGTTGAACAGAGCAATCATGTCGCTAAGTGTGATGTTACCGCCGAGGATAACGTGGTCATTGGTGACCGTAGCTGTCTTCAGCTGCCTTATGTCATTAATGTCGATGTAAACGTTGGGCAAAGCCGTTGGTCTATACACTCCTACAAAAAGAATTCAGTTAGAACCATTTATAAAGAGAAAATCCTAATGGTAATAGAGATTTAACAGTCAGGCCTTGGGTTATGAAGGGGTAAGTTGGATAATACAGTATTTTTTGTCTCAATATTATAAATTATAGAGAAATAAACAAGAGTAAAAAGGTTTACGAACCTTGTGCTGTGTTTCCTGCAACAAGCATGTAAGTAGAGTCTCCGATTAAATCGAAGAGTTGAAAAACTTGGAATACGTCCGAGACCCGGTACCAAATCACCCCGTTCTTCAAGGACACCCAAAGGTTTTTCGGGGCCATCGAAGTCTCCAAGAATAAGTCGGAATAATCACTATCTACCTCTTCTTTTTTCGGACATTCTTTACATTCCTTCTTGCAATCGATAGTGCACTTTTCTACCAGATCCTGAAAGAAGTTTTACAATTAAGCTATAAATATGCTCTCTATGAGACGAAGGTAAAGAATAAAAGTTGGAATGCGAACCTCAATGTCAGCCAATTTATGTTTGAGGTCATTCGTAGCGTCAGAGGCGAGTGACTTGAAAGCGTCCAGGATAGGCCTGTAACCGGTACACCGGCAGATATTACCGCCAAATGAATTTTCAACCTCTGCCATTTTTATTTGAGGATTGCTCGTTAGTAGGCTGAAAAGAATAATCAATATTATTATTATTAAATAAAAGGCCATATTAAGTAGGAATAAAAATAAACTCACCTGTACATATTCATCACTTGACCTGGAGAGCAGAAGCCGCATTGGGTGCCATTGAAGGTGAAGAGCGCCTTCTGGACCTTGTGGTAGCCAATCTTCTTGTTACCGATCCCTTCGATGGTAGTTATGCTCATTCCGTGGCAGGCCAGAATGGGAACAAGGCACTAAATGTGTAATATTAATGTAAGTAATAAAGTCAATATATACCAGGAGCTCCCAGAACAGGGTTGCATAGTTGTGGATTACAAATACTTTGGCGTTCCTACATGTTAATATATCTTAACTAAAAGATTTTGGGAATTCATTAAAAAGTTCAAAAAACAAAATTCATGGCTTTTATTTACACAATAATAGTTTGGTAATCTAAGTTTTGTGATTTTTTTTCGATTCTCCGAAAATATTTTCGACTTAGGGCTACCACTTGTCTAAATCTGTCACTACTCAATACGCTAGCACAACTTTCTGTTAAGTTCTCATTTACAATCAGTATAAATGGACAAATTATTAAGAATATTGGAGCTGACTTAAGATTATATTGCCAAGATTGAGAAGATAAAGATCAGATTGAGGAGAAAACCAAAAGTATAAAATTATACTACACAACACAAGTGGATCTAGGGAAGGGCTTTCGGGCTGTAGACCTCCCCCTCCCCCCTCCCCCAAAAAAAGATAAAATATAACCATATTTTACATTTAATTTAATCTAATCACATTTAATTGAAATTCAAGAATCAATTAAACACCATTTCTTATCGGTTGTTAATTTCTTTCTTTTTATTCTAAAGTAATTATCATAACTAGCTGGCCCATGCTAATAATTCGCATAAAATATTGGTCAGAAAACAACTGATGAAATAGTATTGAAATATGATAATGAAATCTATCAGCAGGCGGAGGAATAGTAAAGTTGGGCTCAAACGGTAACTGCAATACTGTACATTTTAGGACTTTAAAAGGCAATTAATAAACCTTAACCTTTGTCGGAGTTAAAAACATAAAAATCAGAAATTATGAAAGTAGTTTTTAAAAACCGTACACGTAAAAATTATAATTAATATCTTATAACACTTTGTTGAACAAAATATTAGAAGCAATGATGCATAAATTACACTAGGCTGTATCTTTATGAATAATGGTCCGATTTTCCTGACTTTTTTTCTTCGTTTTGTAGGAAATTTAGCCAATTTTCAAATATTAACGGGTCTAATCATGAAAAAAATACATACTTTTTAAGAAATTCGCAAATAAAGTTTCTCTTCATTCATAACTTTTTCCCTTAAAATTTCGTGTGGATGTCACTATGATTCCTCACTGCTCTATTTAATACCCTTTCGTTTGATACCTCATTCATAAAATCCATCTCTCCTGGGAGCCGGAAAAGGGATCGTTACGGCGAAAAATTGTCTTATTATATATATCATAATTAGAGACCAGATCTTCGTGCAGTAAAAATCCGAAAACGAGTAGCAAAAAGTGCAAAATCGTATAGTAAAAATCCCAAATATATAAAATTTTCCAACTTACACCTAAAAACATGACAAAATAATCTATTTTGTTTAATTTATAATATTAATACATAAAAATCCTATAAAAAATTGTGTTAAGCTTCTAAAAAAGAAAAAAAATGCAAATTGAAGATTAAAAAACATATTACAATCAACTAGCGACAACGATAAATTACGATAAACGAAAATCTTCAAAAAAGGGAAATTAAAAAAAAAAAGTACTAACATAAATAATAGATAATTTACAAAAACGTCTCAATAATTAATCGACAAATAATTAAATATATCTGTTTACATTGGTTAATTGACTGGCACATACAAAGAATGAAGTAATGAAGAGGCATGGACTTAAAAATATTAAAGGTATGAAGAATAAGTATATATTATATAGACCAGACCAATTGATATCAGATATTTAATTTTAATTAAAAATAATATATGTGCATATACAATTATAAATTGTCCACATTATAATGAAAACTTTATATTTTAATCGAGATGAAATTTATAATGTTATTTACATCTCGAAATTTGTTTCTCCTCTCACTTAATAATATAAAATATAACGTTTCAAATTAAGTTTTTGGTTTGTACTTCTGATGAAGCACCAAGCCAATATTTTCTCGGGAACTACACAAGAAACCTTAAAACTACACTTACAAAAGAATTGTTCTTTCAGGTTTTTGGAGGGTGACTGTATATTTGTAAAATTAATTTAATATTTTAACAACTTCTTCATCCGTTAATCAAATAACAATTCAGCAATAAATAGTTCTTACCTATTAGTTAACAATAATGAACTACAGACAAAAAATTAATTATAATGAAATGAATGAAATGAAATGAAAAAATATTTTATTATTCTGGGACTGTTGTCCCTTTAGAACAAATTATAAATACAGATTGTATGTTAGTGTGGTTACAATTATATTATATATTTACAATAAGAGTTGACTAAAACTAAAAATACTGAAGAAGAGAAAGAAAAGAACAAGAAAATTGTACATATATATGAGATACTAAAAATAACCGAAATAAATTGAGGTAGTGTCTCTGGGGTGCTTAGATATTTCTCTTAAGTATATTTCGCAATCAATCGGATTGAGAAAGGAGTAGGTGTTTAAAGAGGAGAGGTTTCAAAGAGGAAACTGATTGAGCGTGTCGAATATCAGCAGGGATGGAATTCCAGAGGGAGGCGGCTTGTATTGCAAAGGATTTGTAAAACGCAGCAGTTCGGTGAGGAGGAGGATAGAGGTCGGAAGTACGAGATCTAGTAGGACGGGATTGGATAGAGTATTTGAATTGTAAGCTGTGAAAAATATAGGAGGGTCGATGAGTTATAAGGATTTGGTACAGAATTATTGGTATTGGAATTGGTATCAAATTATAGGGAAACAATTACCGAATTGACTGCAAAACTCCTGCTATGTCCTGTCGAAGGATCCGTGGCGGTCATGTTGACTACACAAGAACCACATCCTCCTTCTTGGCACATGTATTTGGTTCCTTTGAGATGAGCATACTCCCGGATGTATGTGTTGAGCGAGGTGTCCGCTCCCACGTCTGACCCAGCTATAGAAAAAAACAAAAAAAAAACGATATCGGTGGAAATCAGTAGAATTTGACAACATTTATAATTTTATTATAATTGACATTGAGGCACTGACGGATTCAGGTGGCTTTCGGACTGAAGCCTCCTGAAAATGGATTTTTTTTTTCATTGGTCTACATTGGTTTTTGTGGATGATCTTGGATAAATACTTCAACAATCTCAATATGTACTCTTTTTAAATTATAACGCATGCACATCAGCTATTTAATTTAAGCAAGTATTAAGAAAAAAATAAACCTTAAAATAAAGCATTATTGTTCTTGTAATTACATTTGTATTTTTTCTTTTTTTTTTTGTAACAGGCCTTCTATTCAAAACCGTTCAAAGACAATAAATAAAATTTTTTACAGGCGATGTGAACATTTAAACTATTGATTTATTTATTTATTTAACAACGTAAATATTTAATGAACAATTCTGTTACCACTTAGTTTATTTCTATTGAATAAAAATAAATGTAGAAATCGTATTTCTTTTTCTGTATATTATTTATCTGTATATAATTATTTTGTGTACACTAAAATAAGCCATTTTCAACCATAAGTAAAAAAAACATTTTTTGTTGCCTAGTGTAATATTCCATTCAATCAACATTTCGGTGAATTTGTTATATAAATATTGACCGTGTAACATTTTGTGACTTTTAACTAAAACTATCATTTTTATTTATCAAAACTTTAAAAATGAATAATAACGAAAATAATATTCGAAAATCATATAGTCCGTGGTATAGACCCCTTTTTATCGAATTTTTAACACCCACCTGAAACTTCGTAAATAGTTTCATATCATAATAAAATAACGAGGTTATGTAGGACAAACGGCCCAATATTTTTGTAGGTCACTTTATTTATCGATTTTGTGATCAAATCATCTTACGATCAAAGTAGGAAGCAAATGGGTATTTAAGATTTTTTAGTACTTATTTAAATAGACAATGTTTGCCCCTCTCCAGATTGAAAACGCCCCAATTCCAAGAGTTTTCGTAAATGAAATAGTTATAGGTTACGATGAGATGAAGCTATTTACGAAGTTTCAGGCGGATGTATTCGATAAAGTAACAAATAATTCGATAAAAAGGGGTCTGTACCACGGACTAGTAGGTTGAGTATGAACTTAGGAAACGAAGATGAGACAGCAGGGACACTCAGTAACTAGTTATGAGGGATAGTATATCTGCAACGCCTGCCCATCAAGTAAATAAAATGGACAGACATTTAAATATTGTTATAGCAAAAAGTAATCAGATTGCCGTTTCAAGAAATATTATTTAGTATTAAATTAAAACAACTTAGACCATAGATTCGTGTTACAGATTCCAATTTTTTTTAAACTCTCATAGTTGAAACAAACACCATTCATTGTTTGATAATTTAATTAAATATATTAAATATAAATTTAGTTAATTAAATATTTTACTAGGCGTGTATCAGATATAACATATATTATAATGCTATGTATTGTAAAGACCGCCGGTGGAATAATTATTTTAAATGTATAAATAAACATAAGTGTTCACATCTGGCGGTACCTGACTGAGGGTAACCCATTAGGACAACCTTTTGTAAGTGGTAATAAAAACCCTTAAGGACCACCGACAAAGACCGACAACTAAGTGTTTAAACAGGATCCCGAAAGACCTTTTCACGCCTTCCACCAGAAATATGGAAATCTGTACCTGCTGCTTTACCTTGGCCTGGGGGAGAGGGCGTGGTCATCCCTTAGGCTGAGAATATTCAGCGAATCAGGAAAAAGATTACCAAAAGAGAGGGGGATGAAGGAAGGGGGGAAATAGAGAATTTGGACTGGACACTTCTTCTTGGGAGACGGAGGAGAACACTTGCTCTTGGGACTTCAAGCGGAGGAGTCGAGGGAGGAAGACGAAGACAGCCGGAGAGAGAGATGGACGGACTAGACGCTGAAGGAGAGCAGAGACAGGGAATCCAGATGTGACGGCTAGAAACACCTAGAAACACTATGAAGGACCAGCTAAGTGGTAACAAGCATTTAGTTATACTAATGTAAATTTGTGTTGGCAACCATACATCATTAATTAATAAAATCAATACATCAAGCATTCTCCTCTAGTATGATTCTCAACTATTATTATGTATATAGGTTTAGTTATTATTTTGTATATAGATGTTTTTGGTTTTATTTAAGCTTGTAAATATAATAGTTAGTAAACCAACGTAGTACTTTTACATTCTACCTTGCATGCCACCAATTAGTAATAGAAACAAATAGTAAATTTATAAACATGATACCTTTAGAAAGGAAATCCAATAAAGAGTATATGGTTCAATCTAGGATACTACAGTAGGGGGTCTGTGGTATCTAACATTTTAAATACCTAATTAATATATTTTTCTGTAGATCGGTTCCCTTCTGGAACCGATATGAATACAAATATAAGTATTAAATACGAATAAATGCGATTCCTGGAACCCCTTACTCGCCGTAGAAACGCGAGGCCAGGAACATAGCAATAAAATAAACATTTACTCATAATCATCTGATAATAAGTTTTTGTGTCTTATTTTTGAATAATTGATACATATTGGTCAACTTTTCTAACAATAAATGGATAGACTATAAAGAACATTTGAAAAAATCACCCAATTCAACTATAATTGTAATAAATCACTTAATATTTAAAGTTGTAAAAATTAGATCTTACAATGTAAAATAAATATACTTACCATGATATACGGTTCCATTTATCGTAAATGTAACATTGCTATCCCTGAAAAAAAGAGAAGAAAATAACAACATTATTATTATTATTAATGTCTTTAAAGTTATCAAACCATGATTATTATTTTTTCTATCGTAAAAATACCGGTGTAAAATTGGTGGACCTATTGAAATTTTGCTCTTAGTTTCTTAGAATAAGCTTATTGCAATCCTGATTCTTAAAATAGTTATGGAATGTATAAGAAATATAACTAGAATCCCAATTCGTCTCAGTAATATTGGCTTTAAATACATGGATTATCAGTTCCTGGTTTATTAGGAAAAAGAAAGACCAACTATTTAAAAAAAAAAATCGTATTCAATATAACTGACGTTAGTTTCAACACATTTCTCCCAAAACTCAATGAGTTTTTTTTAGCCCTTTTTCGAATAAAGTTTTGGCTTCGAATCAATTGGCTCATAAATTGAAATTTATACTATTTTTATTTATTTTTTTTTTTAACATAAAAGCGTTCTGAAAAAAATGTTAGTCATTTGAAGAAAAAAATAAAAGGATGTGGAAGGACTTGAATTTTCAGCTTTTACGAACTTAAAGCAAAAGAAGATGCAACCATAGACGCAGACTTCTATAGGTGTGAGAAAGGCAATAAAATTTTAACATAATTTTCAATATTTTTTTATTTCTGACGAATGTCAGCAGTTACAAACTTCAGTTTAGACATAACAATTATTTCCCTTAATTTTGATATTAATTTAAATTATATTATCTATATCCTTTGAAAAGTTCATTTGGCTTATACCGTGTTTATAGAAAGTAGTCCAACATCCTCGCCTTGTCCTCCACACGTGGGGGAAAGGTCTGGATTCGGAGCTCCCTCGGCTGATTGTATATATTGTAATTAAATATGACTGTTAGTTTTTTTCTTTTGTTTGTTTTTTTCTATTTATTCCTTAATTATAATTCATTATCATTCATATCTACTTATTTAATTTTTATTCCACCTAAGAATTCCTGTATTATTTAATTTCACTTCAAGTTATAATTCTTTCTTTTTATTACAGTTTCTACCTTTGTTATATATATATATATATATATATATATATATATATATATATATATATATATATATATATATATATATATATATATATATATTTATTTATTTATTTATATTTATTTTATTGTATTGTAAATGTGGTATGAATGTACCTTACAGCTTTTCGATATCCGTCCTCAACTATCAGTAATGTGGAAAATAAAAATTACGTGATGATTTTTACTGTATTTAACTAGCTAACCTTTGATTACCTAATTTAGCGATTAAGTCATGGTGACAAAGTTTTGAATAATTAAATTTTCTTCAAACATATATATTATTTGACTAATTTATATCAACGGTTCAAAAGTTAGATCAGTCATAACTTTATATGTCGATTCCGAGAAATTGCAGAAAAAAATAATTTTTATATTAGACGTTATTGTGTGTATGCATATATACATATATACATAGCGATTTAGATATATATACAGTTAGCGGAAATAACGGATATTATAAAATTATTTGTTTCGGCAAAATCTTAGAATTGACTTATCTGGTTATAATTGATAACTAGAGATAAACTAGTAAAATATTATATATATTCTTGTAGAAAATTTAATTATTAAAAACTTTTTTCCTTAAGACTTAATCGTAGAAAGAAACATTCAAGAGTTAGCTAGTCAAATACAGTAAAAAACATCAGGTAATTTTTATTTTCCACATTACTGATAGTTTAGGACGGATATCGAAAAAAGGTATATAATCAATCATATTGTAAATTTTATTAGCTTTAATTTTGTGATGAACGTCTTTGTTGATGTGATGGATAATGTTCCTGATATAAGCGAAAACCCGAAAAAAGTGATCTACTAGACCCTCCCTCCCTCACATCTGACTCATCATCTAGGAGTGGAGATTTTTTGTATGTTTACCTCCTTACTAATCCCAACAACGTCCCAAAATCAAAAATTGTGTCGCCGCCATTTCCTTCTATACCCCCTTTTCGAGCATTCATTCAATGGACTATTAAGCGTGGTAAAATGTATTATATCTCAATAAAAAGATTTTAAATATATAATATATATATATATTTATTTATTTACTTTTATACATGATTTGTTAAACTTGTTCCCAATCTTAAATAAAATTCAATTCCCTTCTATTAAGTTTTTTAAAAAATCAAAAGAAGTTCAATAAAAAATCAAAACATATTACTAATAAGTAAAGTTCTAATCTGATTTTATTTAAAAAAAACAAAAAACAGCATGTCCAAAAATTAACATACAAGGATTTGTTACTCAAAATTGGCAACACTAACCAAAACTGAAAACTATAGCAAACGGTTAGGTAAGCGACTTCTTCAAAAGCTTTCGAACCACGGTTTTATTTTGTTCAATAACGTAGGAGTCCTGTATTTCAAACTTTATTGCGTAAGTATTTCTATTCTAAATTCCAATAACCCAGATATGTCATCCGCCCATTAATTTGGAAGAGAAGGGGAACTCGTGTATCAAGACACCTTAAAATGTAATGGTTTCGAAATATTCTTGATTTGTAATGTCCGGAATACCGTTGCTATCGATGATTTATTTCTTTTAGTTACTTTTTCTCAATAAGACTTGGACATTAGCATCTTAAAAATTTATTCAATTACGAACTCTGGCGGGGCCGTCAAGCAGAAACCGCCCAAAATGGACAAATATATATATTTTTATTACTCCATATTTTTTAATGTGAGGGATTTAAGATAAACAATCACATTTTTTAAAAATTGTAATGTACTTGCAGATACTAAATTTAATTTCAATAAAAATATGTATAGAATGTATTTATAAAAGCATTATTGTTTGTGCAATTATCGATTTTTTTTTTGTAACAGGTGTGTAAGGACCAATTTAACATTATTTCATATTTAAAATTCTTTTATTTTCATCCAAAGTAATTACAGAAAAAAAATCCTCTAAAACAAATCCTGGATTCACTATTTACAACGGAAAAAAATCGTTTTCCTGCTTCGATTCTGAGATCTACTCACGAAAAGAGCTTTCTTCTCAACAAGTGATAATTATAATTAAACAACATAATGGAGGGGTTAACCGATATTTAACCATTTGCTTGAGAGTTAAGACACCTCAAAGGTTCTTAGACGGATTCTGTATTTTTTATTTGATTTTCTACAAAAATACAATTCATCATCACCCGATGGCGCTATGATCCTTGTAGAACTTTTGTCTCCTCTACTATCTTCCTCCAAACCGATCTGTCTTCGATCACACCTCTCCTATCTGCCTACACCCCGGCTCCTTAGATCGTTTTCCACATATTTCAGCCAACGAAGTCTAGGCCTGCCTCTTTGCCTTCTTTCACCCGGGTGTTCCGCCATCATCATTTTAGGAAGCCTGTTAGGAAGCTATGTTCCATTCTTTACATGTGACCTAACTATCTTATCCTTCCCCTCTTTATGGTACATATAATATCTAGGGCATTATACCTTCTCCAACTCTTTATTCGTCGTCATCCGCCAAACGTTTCTTTCTTTGATTGGGCAATTTTACGAAGAATTTTTCTTTTCCACCTGTTCTATAGCCCCTCTTCCTGAGAGTGTCCAGGGCTCGCTTCCATATATAACAACCATTCGCATGACCGTATATAATCTTATTTTGAGAGCACTTGGTAAATCACGATTTCGGAAGATGTTTGTTAGGGACCAAAATACCTATTACCAGCTGTGATCCTTGATATTATTATTAATTCAAAAGAAATTTCTTATTTAGATAAAATTATCGCTACACTTACCGTACACTACTTCTTCTTTTTTTTTAATGACATTTACAACTGTATTAATAAATAAAATACATTTAGTAAATTTGATAACAGAAAATAATAACATGAAATCACTTGTTGAGAAACTAGCCACTGGTAGCACTCTGAAAAAAAAAAATGTATTTATAATAGGAGATTTAGAGGCCATCTTCTTTTCAGACGCCTCGGGGCGTTATCAGGGATAGAAGAGGAAGTAAGGTTAGAGACGAGAGAATTCGGATGGTTCTGAAGTTTATTATGGAAGGATAGGTATCTGGATTGGCCAAATCGGAAACATATGGTACATTAAGGTCGTTATGGATTATTTTATTGGTGACAAAGTATTGAGGATTTTCCGAAGGATTTTGGATTGTAAGGATTGGATACGAGAGGAATTCGATGGCCTAGTGGAGCCCCAAAGCTCAACTCCGTAAGTCCATATAGGTCTTATTGTAGTCATGTATATGAGTCTTTTGTAATTAATTGGAAGCTTAGAGCGTTTGTCTTACACTACTTTGAATTTAATTTCTCTTCCAGTAAGTATTTACGTTTGCTATCCAGATTACTGAACTCTGGATTGGAGATTCTGGAGTGGACTGATCACGAATAAAGAGATAAAATGAAGCAGTAACTGTAATATATAATAATAAATTAAATTCATTATCGGCTCTCGACTGTTTGTCGGATTCGTTAACTGTTAAATCACCTCTTGAAGTTACATTACCATCAGTATAACGAGATTTTATGATCTATAATAGATCAATTCAATAAATTACTTTGTAATATGTAACGACCCAACTTTAGCATGAATATTCCACTTGATATAATGAAGCAAGAAACGCCAACCTACTTTTATGGCGAGAAAGTGGACATTCCGATGTGGGATGGCTGAAAGATTTATTGTTACCTAAAGGTTAAGGGCACGTAATGACTCAGGTAGGTTGGCAAAACTGATCAAGAAAACCCTTTTCATTTTCAATCAAATTGGTTTAAATTAAATATATTATCGGAACTAAACACCAGGCTGTTGTGACAGAGTGATCTGAGACAACCTTGCTTTTGACTAAAGAGCTTTCACGTACAAAGGCACTTAGTGGGACGGTGGAACCGCTATAAAAGACTTTTAAGGTTAAGGATTTTTTTCGTTAATCAGTCAATGCACAAAAGCTCATTAGGAGCTTTAGTATATTTGTGAAATATAAAGTTC